GTATCCCGCTGTCGGTTTTCCCTCCCTCCCTTCCTGGGCAATGCACAACTGGTTCCTTACTCACGACACAACTCCGCAGCCCTGCGTCCGGCTGCGCTGCCCTAGGGGCGTGCAGACCTAGATCCCTACACCCCCACCCCCACCACCCAGCCCGACCCACCATCGCCCGTGTGACGTTGTAGCCGTACGTGCTCAGCCCTACCACCAGCCCCAGCGCCGAGATGATGACACACCACAGCGGCGCACGAACCTGCAGGGCGTGTGTGTTGCTGAGGGTCACACCGGGCGCCCGAATGCCAGGTCAGGACGGCGGACACGCAGCCCTACACTGCCACCGCCTAGCCAACCCCGCATAGCATACCTCACCCAGTTGCACCTCCCCCAAGCAACTCCTGGTCGACCCTCAACATGTACGGCATGCCCACGCTGTAACCGGCAGCACCCGCCCGCCCACCTCTCCCCCCCCCCACACACACACCTGTGCGGGCAGGCGCCCCTCCTTCACCGCGATCCACACGGTCGCCAGCGGCCCCGCCATGTAGCCCACCTCGCCGGCACCATGTGCGAAGATGACACAGATGGCGGAAAACACCTGCCGGGGGGTGGAGGGGGGTGCATGTACAGGTGGGACGTACCGTTGTGGGACGGAAGGGGGGGGGGGTAATGGCAGGTAGGAATAATGCAACAGACAACGGACAGGTGCAAACGGAAAGACGTGTGCACAGTGTGGCAACGGGCGGCGGTAGGGGTACATACGGGGAGCAGCGAACCAACCGCCGCAAGACATGATGGAACGCTACACACATACACGGGCGACTCACCTCCCACCCACCCATCCGGCACCCAGCCATGTCCCCGCACCTCACCGCCCCAACGTCAGCCTCCCTCGTCAGGTCCCTCTTTTTCAACCGCCAACCGCCCCAACCGCCAGCCCCCCCCACTGCACCTGCAGGTATGAGAACGCGAACTCGGCCTTGGGGTCGAACACCTCTGCGTGCTTGTGGATGGCCGCCACCAGCGGATCGTCCTCTACGATCTGGTGGATGTCCACCTCCACACCTGCGATTGACGCGGACATTGCGTTGTGTTTTCTTAACGCACAGAAGGATTCACAAGGAAAAGAGGGAAGGGCGAGGCTGAGGGTGACCCACGGGTCACTGATGGACTCATTGCGTGAGCATCCCCTGAATAGCACAACACCTGCAAGATAAGTAGATACCAGGCCATGACACTGGACTTGAGTGATACAAATGACCCGTGGGTCACACCAGCCCAACGCCTGCACGAACCGTGCGAACCCACCATTCCCACCATTATTGTTACATTTTCTCAAGATTATCCTCCCATTGCTATTCCCTTCACTATATCAATCCATTATTCTTTTCCTCCCGGCATGTATGTACTGCCCTTCCCACCGTGCATGGCTGCCTTGCGAATGCTTTCCATGGCCCTGAGCAGCACGCTCATGCTGCTGCTGCTATGCGAGGAGTCCCGGCTGGCCTCGCCGCTGCCGCCGCCGCCTGCTGCCCCTGCCTCATCCTCCCGCCGCTTCTTGCCCGCCTCCGTGTCTGGGCCCTCTTGCAGGGCGGCAGCTGCTGCGGCGGCTCTGTGGGTGTGTAGAGGTGCGCGTGTACCGGTAACGAGGAGGAGGATGCGGATGAGGCGGCGGCACCTACCCCCATTCCATTCTCTTTCAATAGCACCTTTACCCCCATTTGCACACCCAGCAATTCGTTGCAGCACCCCGCTGACCGACTCACTCCCGGTCAAACTTCTTGCCCGCTCGCAGCCAAAGGTACGGCAGCAGGGTGAGTGAGGTGAGCAGACTAGCGCCCACCGCCACCACCGCGGCCACCCAGGCCGACTTGGCGTCGCTCCAGTCGTCTTTTGAGTTGCTGGAGAAGGTCTTTTTAGCGCCCTTAGTAAACACGAAGAAGATGCTGCAACGCGGGAAGAGGGGGGAGGAGCGGGGACGGGGACGGGAGCCTCTATGTCTACGTGTCCTTCGCTCCGCCAACACCCCTTCCGTACAATCCACACCGCATGACCTTGCCGGCCCCAACAGGGCGGCACCAACCCACACGCCCCACTCACTTTATAAACGTCGTAACCAGCACCAGCACGGGAAGCACCCAGAAGGCGAGGACGTAGGCGTTACGTCGTCGCAGCACCAGCGTCCGCACCGTCAGGAAGATGCAGGCGGAGGCGAGTGCGGTGAGGAGCGGGGAGGTGAACCACGTCACCACAATGGGTACGACACCCTTGACCGGCGGAAAACTGGATTTGTCAGGGGTTGCCCAATTGACCGCATGTGCGCCGCCGTACACCATTGTAAACCCGATAATCCCGCCGACTGCGGAGGACAGATGTAGGTCGTGATGGGGTTTACGTTTATGAAGGAGGAACACATGTTGGCAATGGAGGGAGACGTGCGTTGTGCTGGTGCCCAGGCGGGCAGGCGGGTGGGTTTAGCGGTTGTTGGCGCCTCTGAAGTGCGTGTGTGCTTCAGACCGGGCGGGTGGGTGGGCGCTACACTGCTACTTACTGATGCTGTGTGTAGCTGAGACGTTGAGTTCCCAATAGGAGGCCAGCCCCTGCCATATGAAGCCCGTTGTGAGGGCGCAGATCATGCCGTACGCTGCAAGCACAGCAATGGGAAAGTACGGTGCAGTTGGGGCTTTAGGCTTACTGCTACAAACGGTACGACACTACGATACATACCAAGGAACCGGAACATATATAGCAGGTAGAAGACAGCCATGCTAGCCACCGAGGTCGCGCGGTTGCTGCTGCTGCCCCAATCCATATGTCGTACCGTATATTTCCGGTTCTCTGTAAAAGTAGCTTAATTTGGCAATGCCCCCTGCGATGGTTGCTGTGGACACTCGACCCAGCACCAGAGCTCCCGTGAACTCGAATAAGACGGCGATGAGGACGGCTTGCTTGAGTGTGAGCGTCTTGGCTCCCACGCTGGTCCCGAATGCATTTGCAACGTCATTCGAGCCTGTGTGTAAATGTAGAGTGCGCAAGGAAATGGAAGGAGGAGGAGGATGTGGAAAAATGCAACCTTTCCAGCGTTTCGCAAGCAAGGAAACGCATTTTGCGGATAGCTTTGCCCGCGCGGGAAGGTCACTGGGCCCCCATCCAAGTTCACAATGCATGCGTACAAGAATGGGGTAGCGAAGTTAACATTTGGATTGACAGAATTGGAGGTGGAGGCTTTCGACGCAAGGGCGGTGTGCAGTGGATCAGCAGACGCCGCAACGCACCTGTGCCCCAGCCGAAGGCAAAGGCCGCCATCGCCCCGACCACAACCAGCCATAGATACTGTAAGGGCGACGGAGAACACGCGTGAGTAAGGCTTCTTGCCAGAAGCTTGCTGACAGTTGGTACTGGCAATTTCGGTACTGGCAATTTCGATACTGGCAAATCGGCACGGAATCCGGCGGCCATCCTACCTCCTGCTGCGCAAACATGATGAATAGTGGGGTGCCTACAAACGGATGTTGCCTTAGACGGGTTATATGATTGGGCGCGTGAAGCTTAGGCTGTGGCAAGAGGCTGACTACCGTTATGCGGCTTGCAGACGGAATGCGATAGCAGGTGCAGCAGCTGTCAATTCGTTCGTTCCTGAGCCTAAGAAGCTGCAGTGACAGGTGCTTTTGCCTTGCAAAGGGAAAGAAGTTGTATGCGAAGGGCTCATCGTTGTCTTACAGCACGTTGCGAGCCACCGAGAGCATCTTCCAGCGGGGCGGGGAGCCACAAGGGAATCTTCTTAGGTGGATGCCTTCAATGACCCATGGGTCTTTCCATTTCTCTTTATTTTGTTCCTGTGGGTTCACAAGCGCGACAAGGTGCGAGTGGGGTGCAGGAATTCACGTAGGTTGGTCCATTGATGCCGAATCGTTCACAAGGTATCATTCGACGTATATCATTCGGTCTAGAGAGATGCCGATTAGCGAGACATACTTGACGTATGCGTAGGAACGAAAGGACCCACACACTTGTTGGTGCAGAAGGCAACCAAAAGAGAGGGGTTCTACGATGATGACGCACATAGATTTGAATTAACGACAGACAACAAAGGATTGCCTGCAATGCCAAAAGTGGAAGAACGGCCTCAACCAAGAATTATAAAGTAACGTTACAGCATTCCGGGGCACGTGGGGAGCGGCCGGGCGGGTTCCAAGGGGCGGTTGCCGCCGCGAATACGGGTAGTACAGCAGGCAGGACCCGCAGGTCAGCCGGATGTCCGTTACAACCCCACTGCCTCACGGGGCCAACGGGGCCCCTCCTAGCCTAACCGTACTGCACATACGCAATAACAAGACTCTCTACATGCTGGCAGTAACTTCGCAGGCACCATGTGGCAGCACTCTGGGTACTGTATCAGGTCGCCACCCAGTCCGGCAGCCAGTGGGTGGACTGCAGACACGCATCCGGCCGCCAACTACCAGAGCCGCCGCCGCCTGCCACATCCGCCCCATGCCACATCCCGCGCATGGGTCGCATGCCATCATGCGCCGCCACAACCCTAGGGTACCTCCAAGGGTAGGGGCTGCCATCCGCCCTCTCCACTTGTGCAAGTCCCAACCCCTATCCTTCCCCTAACAGGCCTACCAGGGTGTACGCTTCGTCGTGCGCTGCAGCCCCCCCCCCGCACACTGCATACCTAGCGCAGCCGCTACATCCATACATACATACTTGGACAATACATAGCCCCCTTAATCCTCGCCGGCTTTGTCGAGATGCACATCGGGAGGGGAAGCCACCAAGGAGCCCCCCCCCCTGAACTACCTCTTGTGACAACGGGTTAGGTCGGATGCTCCCCCAGTGCTACACCCTCTCACACCCTTGCACCCACATCCACCACCCCCAACCCAGCCGCCACATGCTCCCCTGCGCCCAACCCCCCGGCCCCCGCCCTCCTCGCCCCCCGTGGAATCTTCATACCTATTAATCCCCCCGCCACTCTACGCCTCGGGGTCGCGGTCATCATCATCGTCTATCGCATTTCCCCCTCCGCCGCCTCCACCGCCTGCCGCCACCCCCGTCAGTCCCTGGAAGGCCCTCAGCTGCCCTCCCGCGCCCATCATCAGCCCCCCGCCGCCGCCTCCCCCGTGCCGCTGCAGCGCCGCCACCGCCGAGGCGCCCACCGCCGCCACCGCACACGCCGCAGTGCCCAGGGTGGCGCCCGCGGTCTTCTCCTGGAGGGGGGCGGGGGTGGGGACAGGCGTGCGGACGGGCGGGGGTTGAAGGCGAGCACCAAGGAAGGGAATGAAGGGACACGCAGGTGGAGAGAAGTGTGCGGTTGCGCTGTGGGATCCATGCGGCTCTTCTTCCAATTGTGATCCATGTTAGTCTTCTCATGCCCTCGCCGTCGTGTACAACACCACTCCGCCTCCGTCCCCTCACCGCCCCGCCCCTCACCGTCATGTTGAATGCCACCGCGCCCAGCAGCGCCCCCCACCGCAGCCCCGCCTTGGCCGCCCCGCTGATCCGGTCGTGCAGCAGCAGCTGCCCCCACGTCAGCCCCACGTGCGCCACGCAGCTCAGCAGCATCAGCTGCGCCGCCGGCACCGACAGCTCGTGGTCAACCTGGGGCCGGGCAGGGAGGGAGGGGGAGAATGGCGGGGAGGGAGGAGCGCGAGGTGGGGGCGGCGGGTAGGTAGTGGCTGGGTGAGGAATGGAGGGTCACATGGCGAAGGGGAGGTGTGCTTGTGCTTCGTCCACATGCTTGCTGAAGAGCAACGCGCCCCCATGCGCATCTGACGCTCTCCTCGCTGGCCTTCCCTCCCTGGCCTCCCCTCTCCCAACCCGCACTCACAATCTCCCTGCCCTCCTGCCCCACGAACCCCGCCAGCAGCACCGGCAGCGCGGGCAGCAGGTTCACCAGCAGTGCGGCGGGCGGCGGCTCCAGGACCGCCTCCGCCTCCGCCACCCGCCGAACCAGCGAGGCAAGCGGGCCGAAGTCTGAGAGGGGGAGGGAGGGGGCAGGCAGGCAGGCAGGTAGGGAGGGAGGGAGGGAGGGAAGGAGTGATGGGCACATCAGCAAGGTGGTTGGGGAAGGACAGAAAGAGAAGCTTTGGAAGGAGTTACGCTCTCCGCCCTTGCCTTCTCAGCTCCTGTCTTTCCCCTCCGCCCCAACCTGCTGGCTTGGCTAATTCGGGTGGAGCGGGATGGGCCCGCTACCACGTGTGCACCCCATGCTGAAGCCTCCTCATGCAGCCCGTCCCTTTCGTCCCCTTTACCCCCTGTCCCCCCTCCCTCACCTCCCCCCTCCCTCACCTCCCCCCGGCAGCCTGCCCCCCAGCGAGGGGTCCTCCTTCAGCAGCCGCCACCCCGTCTCCGCCAGCTTGGCGCAGCTCCACGCCGCCAGCAGCAGCACCGCCAGCCACCCCAGCGTGCGGTCGAGAAGCAACTCCAGCACTGGAGGGGGGAGGGAGAGGGGAGGAGGGAGAGGGGCGGAGGGATCGAGACCATCCCACCGGAGCTGCTGACCCCCTAGCGGAGGGAGCCTGGCGCATGCAGCCGCCCACCTTTCCGTAATCGCTGCCGCCTGGGCCGCCCCCTGCGTCCCAACACACCCGCCAACGCGCACCCACCTGTTGCCGCCGCCGCCGCCACCAGCAGCGGAATGGTCTGCGGCGCCAGCAGCCTGCTGGGCTGCCCCACCGCCAGCGCCAGGCCCGCGTCCAGCAGCAGCGGCGCGGTGGCGGCCCAGCTGAGGATGCAGTGCACGGAGGAGTGGAGCAGCGCGCCGTACAGGGTCAACATCTGGAGGCGGAGGAGGCGCGAGGAGGGAGGAGAAGGGAAGGGGCAAGCTGAGTTTGACCAGTTTGACCGACAACGGGATGCCTAGGCATCCCGTTGGACTCAAGGTAGAAGAAGAATGACCGCCAGCATGAATTGGTTTGAGGTGCTCATACCTGGATCCCGTAAAGGGCGGCCCGCACGCTGCAGCCGAGCAGCGCCTGTTGCGGGTTGGCAATTACTTGGCTCATGTCAAAGGTGTCGTAGTAGGTGGAGATCCAAAAGGAGAAGACGGCCATGCCCATGTGCAGGAATGCCATGAGGCCAGGCGTCTTCATAGTCGTTAGCGAGCCCTGCGCACAGGAGCCACAGGTGGGAGTCAAGGGCATGTCGGGTTACGCTTGGGCAGGAGTGTTGCGCGCAAAGAAGGAAAGCCGCGAAAGATTGACCAGCTTGCCTTGATAAGGACGTAAATAGCTGACTGACACGCCAGGTATATTCCGCAGTACACGTACAGCTTGGTGCTCTCAAACACCTGGCCGAATGCTGCCACATCCTCCGGTAGGGCTTGCGACTTAGCACGGTGTCTGCTTGGAGTAGGGCGTGATTCTGCTCGCTGAATTGCTGGCGTGGATGGAAGTGGGGCCTCAACCGGGGCAAACGGGTCTTGCGATCCAGTTTTCTTTGCTTGCAGAAGTGCCTTTTCCAAGAAATCTGCTCCTGCCTTGCGAAGGGCCTCTCTACGATACTGGTCCGGCGGTGCTGCAGTCGCCACAGGCTGTGGAAGTGTAGCAGGCTGGGTCGAAGCCACATCTGCTGCTGGAGTCGTAAGCTCTGGCGGAGAGGCCTCTGGATTTTGCATTGTCCAGCAATACAATCATCTACCTGCTATTCAGAACATCACGTACAAGGAAGCTGCGACGTCCAAGTGGCCCAAGCAAGCGACGCAGGAAAGTAACAACACACTCCTTTGCAGTCCTAAGATATGACGAAGTAAAACGCTAGACGTCCCTGTTTATCAGTTTTAAAAAAAACCACTGCAAAAGGCACGGAGCGTGGAATCTGTCGCTAACTTGCAACCGTACAACGTCCTACCCAGCTCCACCCAATAAGCTGCAATCCTGGGACAAAGCCCATTGCTATTGCCTTTGGAAGCATTCCATTGTGAACCTCTCGTTGTAATCTCACACCCCGAGCACCTTCCCGGTCTAACCGATGTTGCACTGAAGGAAAGGCACCATATTCGGAAACGTAGCACATCGTCGCCATGCTCTTCCTGGCACCTGCGAGCACTGTACCGAAAGACATCGTAATCCACCCAGGCCGCCGCCGAACCTGGTCGTCTCAATGCACAGCTCTCCCCTCTACCAATCCGGGTTGTCCTTCGCTGCACCCTTCACATTCTTGACAAAAGAGCGTTCCAGCTGCGGCCTTCACTAAGTGCAATAACCCGTCACTCATTCCCTACAGAACCATCCCCTCAAGTACTGTACGACAAAGGCGCTCCCTGAACGCCGTACCGCAGCCAGAAGTGATGCCTACAACCGAGGCATCCCCCCTACAGCAGCCCTGGAAACATGTACGGAGTGATCATGTCCGCAGCCAGCACCGCCTTGAGCCCCGTGGCGTTCGCCAGCGCCGTAAGCTTGCGCCTTAGCGGCTCCGAAGGCACCAGCAGCAGCACTGCATTCTGTCGTACAAGCGCCTGTGTCTCATCCAGATCCAGACCCAAATGGCACGCCAAGAACCGCAACCGCTCCTCCAACTCCGCTGCCGACACCGCCGCCGCGTACTGAGGGTGGTTCACCAGGATGCCTGCCGCGGCCTCCTCGTTGCAAGCCAGCAGGCCCATGAGCGCCCTTCCGCTCCTGCTAACGACAGCCGCAGCGGAACTCTCACCTGCCGCAGCCGCCGCAGCCGCACCCGCCACTGCAGGGGAATGCGAGTCGCGGCCCTCCGTACCACCACCACCACCTGCAGCCTTTGCAGCAACTGCAGCAGCGGTTTCCGATAATTTCCGCAACTGCCGTACGAGTACGTCCGCGTCAGCAGTAACCCTGCCGGATTGTACGGCAGCCACCAGGCCTTGCTGCAGGGGCGGCGGGAGGCCTGCGGCAGCTGCAGCTGAGAGGACGATGTCAGCAGTGGCAGCAGCAGCAGGAGCAGGAGCAGCCGCTTGTGCTGCGCGGCCGGTGGCCTGGCCACCTTTACTACTACCCCCTCCAACTGAGCTGCCTCCTCCTCCTCCTCCTCCGCCTGCTGCTGCTGCTACTGCTGCTCCAGCACTGGCGAACACCATGCGCTCTAGCTCCTCCTCACTCAGCCCCAGAAACTCGCCATCATCATCTTCTTCCTCCTCCTCCTCCTCCTCATCATCATCATCATCATCCTCTTCCTCGCTATACGTCCGCCGCCCCTGCTGCTGCTGTACCTGCTGTTTAGCACCTCCCCGACCCAAGCCACCAGAGCCGGGGCTGTCCGCGCTGCTGCTGCTCCTTACTCTGGCGGCTGACCCCCCGGCTCGCCTTGCCCCCACCTGACCCCGCATGCCAACCCGGCCACCGACCAGCCCCTGCTGCTGCTGCTGCTGCCCCTGTTGTCGTAATCCCTGATGCTGCTGCACCCCCTGCTGCCGCTGCTGGCTTGCCCCTCCCTTCTCCACCTCCAACATGCGGGTCGGAGTGGAGGCGGCACCTTCGGCACCGCCACCGGCACCGCTGCGGCTCCGGTGCCAGCGCCGGGGCCGGTTGAACACCTCCGCGATCTCCGGGACACCCGCGTCCTCGTCAACCAGGCGGGGCCGCTTCACCTGCGGCCGGGGCTGCAGCAGCTCCGGCCGGGGGCGGCCGCTGCCGCTGCCGCTGCCGCTGCCGCTGCCGCTGCTGCTGCTGCTGCCACCGGAGTTGGTGCTGTTGGTGGGGCTGCGGTTGCTAGGGGCGCTGCCGCCACCACCGCGTTTGGTAGCGCTGCTGTGGATGTTTCTAGGAGAGGGGTTAGAGGGTGCAAGGGCGCCGGGCGGTGCAGGCGCGTGGCGCCGCCACGGCAGGGTGTGTGGGTGGATGGTGGGCTGGTGGGGGCTGGCGGTAGTGGTGGTGGAGTGGTTGGGGAATGCCGCTGGGAGCAGCCGAGACGTACGGTCACGGTGGGAGTGGTGCCTGAGGCCGAGGTGCAGGTGTGGAGGATGGAGAAGGCGGGGTGCGGGGATGCGGGCCGCCGCGAGTGGCATGCTGGTGAGCCGCTGCGATTGCATGTCGGAAGTCGGAAGGCTGCGGCGGCTTAGTTTGCTTTATCCAATCCAAATTAGAGAACCGATTGGCGATAGGGCCAGGATAGGGCTATTAAAAGGCTAGTAGGCACTCATGGCAACCCTGTGGGCGCATTCGCCATGCTTGGTCACTTTTGTCGACTGTTGTGGTGACAATTGCAGCATAAATTCTATTTTAACAGACTTCTGCAATCCTAATGGTTTGGGGAAAAGGCTTGGCCATCGTATACTTTTCGTGCGTCAATGCTGTTGTGACCGTTCGTTCGTCCAGACTTGCACGGCACGCCAATTGCGCGTCTCAGACACAACCTTCAGCTTATGTTCTGCTCTTATGGGGGGCGTATGCTGCTGTGGCCCTTGCAGTCCGCGGTTTGAACGCAAACGCCAGTCTACTTCAGGAGCATCTCCAGACTTGGGTCGCCGTGCCATGAATCTCTTAGGACATACTGGTAGACTAGCAGGAGGCCTATGTAAAGCGCTTAGGTTGCAAGCCGGAGCCATAACACCAGCGCGCGTACTAGCCATGAGCAAGCGGACGGCATCAGGGGCCTTCGCAGACGCTGCTGGGGCCGCTTCATTAAGTCGTCCCAACAGCAGCTCCGCAGCATCACCACAGCAGCCTTCAAACAAGCGGAGACGACTACAGCCGGTCGCGGCGGGCCCATCCGCTGCGCAAACGACTGTAACATCAACCCCCAAGGCTGCGTCCTCACCCAAGGCGCAAGCCAAGCCGCAGGCGGCGAAGGCGGAAGATGACGGAGGCATGTGGTTAATCGTCGGATTGGGCAACCCGGGAGCTATGTACGAGAACACACGTCACAAGTACGACACAACGCCTCCTTTCCATGCCCTTATCCCACGTCAGCCAACAACCGCCCACACACATGCGCACATGCACACATGCCATGTCTCCATGCAGCCCCAGGGGTTCCCAGAACGCATTGCCGACGATCCTACATGGCTCTTTTACCCTCCGACTGCCCTTTTAACGGCCCCCTTAGTCCTCCTCCTCCTCCTTGCTTCCCGATAAGAGCCTCTCCCTCCCTCCTCCTTCCGCTCATCCTTCCTCTTCTTCCCTTCCTTCCTTTTCTTCCTTCCTCACCTCCCTTACCTCCCTCACTTCCTCCCTCCCCTCCCAGCGTGGGCTTCATGGTCCTCGACGAGCTAGCCCGCCAGGCCAGCATCGACTGCCGCAAGCTGGAGAAGGGCGCCGCGGTGGGGCGCGGCGAGCTGGCGGGGCGGCCCGTGCTGCTGGCCAAGCCCGCCACCTTCATGAACAACTCGGGCGAGGCGGTGGGGGCGCTGGCGCGCTTCTACCGGGTGTCGCCGGGTCGGCTGCTGGTGCTGGCGGACGACCTGGACCTTCCCCTGGCGCAGGTGCGGGTGGGCGGGTCAGGGAGGGGGAGGCGGGTTGGGAGGCGGGTTGGGAGGCACTGTAGTACCGGTGTATCCCTTGTGTGTGCCGGTTCGCTCTTGCTCGCTCCCGCGTGCGCACCAGGCCCCCTCCTGTTCCTTACCTTGACCTTGACCGCCCTACCTTGCTCCCCGCACCCCCGACCTTCCCAAAACTGTCCCCCGAACTCCCCTCCCTTTCCCAGGTTGGCGCCTCCTATCCCAAACTGTCCCCCTGCCCTCACTTGTGGTTTGGTAATAGCCTTTGACCCTCGCTCCCCTCGCTCCCCAGGTTCGGCTGCGTCAAAAGGGCGGCCATGGAGGCCACAACGGGCTGCGCTCCATCATCGACCGGCTGGGCGGCAGCAGCGACTTCCCGCGGATCAAGGTGGGCATCGGCCGACCCACGGGTCACATGCCCATCGCCTCGTACGTGCTGCAGCCCTTCAGCAAGTCGGAGAGGCCGGAGGTGGAGGTGGCGGTGCAGGTGCGTGAGCGGGGGGGGGGGTACCTCCTTTCGTTACTGGTGTATCCGCCAGTATACAGGGAAAGGGATTAAAACTAGCTGGTGGATGGTGCTGTCTACTGCTGCGGCTAACCGCACTTCACTGTCTCATCCTCCCTTTTGCAACCCCGCTCCCCCTCTAGGAGTGTGTGACGCTGGTCCGCAGCATCCTTACACTGGGCCTGGAGAAGGCGGCGTCCGGGCAGCGGGTGTGATGCCGGGCAACAGCCGTGTGGGAAAGAGAGGGGGAGAGAGAGAGAGAGCCCGAGTTTCGTTTGGTTGAGAGTGTAAAGTGGAAGTGGTAGTAAACCACTAACCATGTGACATATGGGGCCGACAGGGGGAGAGGAGAGTAGCAGCCCCTTGGGACCTCGCCGTCTAAGAAGAGAGCTGCATGGATAGGTGGCTAGTAGGGCAGGAAGACGTCATGTGGTGTACGACATGTACGGCAGTGTACGACAACTGTACGGCAGTGTACGGCGGCTGTCGTACACTTGTACGGCATCTGTACGGCATGTGTTTTGACACGACCTCCCACCCCCCTCCTCCCCCCCTTCTCCCCTCGTCGCCTATACGTCACCCCAGCCCTCCTTGTGATTCCTGGCACCATCCCCCCCTCGGAGGGCAGGAGAGCGAAAAAGGTTTTTATGTGAGCATGTGTGCAGTACGGTAACTGTGCGGCGGTGGGGCAGCAGTACGGTAGTTCCTTGTCAGCAGGGTTTGTTCAGCCGTACGATTGCCGTGACGGTAATGGTCGCTGACTTGAAAGTGGCTGACTTGCGACGCCATGCCAAGATGACGTCGCCTTATTTATGACTTGTGATAGGCTGTCACGACTGCCACGTATTCCTAAACATTACCGAGTGGAAGGCAAAGGAGTTGAATGAACACGCACAAGCGGCGGCTTACATCCGGGTGTTACTAGCGTACCGGTACTAGACAGAGGGTTGCGTGTGTGTTTAACTAAAACTGTCTGTGCGAGCGGCACAGAAGAGTGAGGACAAGTCTTCTAGCTGCATGCCTTCGTTCTTAGCAATTTGGGAAGGTGCAGCTTGGGAGGGTTATGGTTGGTTGGCTGGTGACCTTGTGGCTGGGTGTCTGGCTGATGATCCACCCTAACGAAGTGTTGGCGCCATATTGGCGCTGGTGATGCTTGGGTTCGAAGGTGCGAGGAAACGGGACTCAGTAAGCTGGAGGTCGCCGTGGCTGCTGTGCCTTCTCCATGTTGCGGTCCCGGATGTGCACATATTATCGTCTACTGTACTATGGTACCATAGTAGGGTGATAGGCAAGTTATTGCTAAAATAGTTATTGTTAAAATATTTTAGCACTTTCCATGTAACACATTGTGTTTGATAGCTCGTTGTCCTGGCTCCTTGTAGACATCTGCTTGTAACCGTGGACATGTGATCGACCGACCCTTGGGTGTTGCGTTGCCCACACACTGCTACCATGTCCCATGCCACTACATTCAAGCATACGCGGCAAAACCGGCTAGTCCTGTGATAGGATAGCGCAGGCAATGAGTCGACGGGCATGCCTGAGGAGCTCCACTCAGTAAGCATGGCAAGCTATGAGAAGCTTCATGTGGGCGCAGGCTAATGACGTCTTTATAGGTTGCAGGGTTTCAGAGGGGTCGCTTCTGAGCCCTTGTCCGTACGACCACTGACTGATCATTGAGAGTAAAATGAAAGCTTATTGTATAGACGGCTTGGAACAAAATAAGTAACTTGCAGACTGCTACTTGTACTAATTATAGGCCAGATTCAGGACCTCTAATGGGCCTGGTGAAGGCTGCAAGGTGCCTAACGCTTGATTCTGTAACCTTTACTTTCTACTTTAGGTTGTTGCAAAATTCGTTGCTTTAACCTTTCCTACCTTTTAGTCCTTGAAAACACTCGAGGAAGTGCCAGCCCTGCATGCTGCGGGCCGGTAGCACGCAGCTTAGCCCACTTTTGGTTTAAGCAAATCCATATAACACAACAACTGTACAAACAGCACTCTCGCCGGCGCTGACGGCATAACGAGGCCTGTGCTGCACGACTCTGAAGCATAGCATGATGGCTGCCCAGCTATCAACCAGCTTACCGAGCGACTCCCTCTTATACAGCTTTACACCCGCGGTCTGCAGTCGTGGAGGTATGTGTCTTGCCGATAAGGATTATAAGTTTGTGTTAAACATCGACATGGCTCATGTCTTGAAGCTTATCGTATTGAAAGAAACTTCCTTCGGAGTAACCCGCCTTGTCGCCTTTAATTCGTGCATAATGACCTTTCCCTAAACATGTAACCTCCCTTTTGTCCAGTGTCCGCTCAGCTCTGAACCCCAAGCAACCTCGACCTAACTCCATGCCCCACCCGCCTGCAACCCCCACCCATGCAGGCACGCCTTCACCGCCCCCCGTGGTGGGCTCTCGCAGGGCTCGGACCCAGTCCGTGACCGGCGAGTCAGTCCAACGACTGGAAGTCAACGACTCGGCATCGTAAGCTCTCTCTTTCACCCCTCGCGCTCCTCCCCATACCCTATTAACACCCAATAACCGCAATCCGGCTTGAATATTCCACAACTTCCCCAGTAACCACCCATCATTAGAGCTCGTTACCTCCTCCTCTTAAGCCGCGCCTCACGCTGAAGTCACTCTCCCTCCCTCTTCTGCCCCGCCCCGCCCCGCCCCGCACCTCGCAACCCACCCCACCCCACCCTACTCCAGGGACCTCCAGCTGAGTCCTCGCTCCCCCAGCATTCTCCACCTGCCCGGCAGGGCCCCCGGAGGTGGCAGCGGCATCGCGGCCGTCGCCCGCAGCGGCAGCGCCGACCGCCAGAGCATGGCCGCCACCCTCGCCAGCATCAGCATAGGGCCCGGCAACACCAACCCGAATGCCGCCGCTAACGCCACCACACCTCTCTCCAGCTCCTCGACCCCAGCAGCAGCAGCGGCAGCAGCGCCCACGGCTGTAGCTTCTGTCATGCCGCTGATCGTGGCTGGCAGCAGCTGTTGTCCGGGAAGTGCCGGAAGCCCCCGGCACCCCGTCAGCAGCAGCAGCAGCCCAACCGCCGCCTCCACGGGCGGGTTGCCTAAACTGGAGCACCCTGGAGGGCTGCATGCATGCGGCGGTAATGGTGGTGGGGTCGGAGGCGGCAAAGAGCTGCCGGCGCTGATTATAACAGGAGCGGGCCGGCGTTACTCGCACAGCGGCGGCACGGAGGGCTGCACGGCAGGGGTGTTGGAGTCCCCGACCGGCGGCGGCGGAGGTGGGATTGTTGCCGGGGGTGAGTTTGTTAGCGGCGTGGCGGCGGTGGCGTTGCGGCAGGGCATGTTGGCGCCGTTGCGGGCCGCAGCGGCTACGTCAGCGCTGCATGCCGACGTGGTGTCGGCGGGTGGTGGTGGTGGCGGTGGTGGTGGCGGCGCTAAGAGTCAAGGATGGTGCGGGGGCGGTGGCGCAGGCGGGAGTGTACCTAGCAGCAGCCGGCGAAGCAGCATCGCGGGGCCGCTGGACATCGGGCCGATAGTGCTGCCATGCGGTATCAGCAGCCCCTACACGGCGGCTTGCGATGTGCCGTCGCCGGTGACGCCGTCTCCCGCCGCCTCCCCAGCGCCGCTGCTGTCTCCGCCAGGCCGCCACCCCGGCCCCATGGCGCCCCTCCCCGGCAGCCCCACCACCGCCACAGCCGCCATGCACGTTGGACGTGGTCTGCGTGCGGACTGCTCGGAGGGCGGCCCTGCAGCAACAGCAGCCGACGACGACGAGGAGGACGACGAGGCGAGTGACGGTAGCAGCGGCGACAACCTGTACTGCGGCAGCAGCGCCGCCGGCGGAGGAAGCACCAGCAGCACAATCGCGCATCTAAGAAGCATCAATGACGACCTACAACGCGCCGCGGGCGCACTATCCGCGCTACACGCGCTTCCGACCCGATCCAGATCGGACTCGGGGACCGCACCCATGACGGCGGCTGCGGCATCCTCGCCTCCGCCTCCGCCGCCGGCAGCGCTCACTGGGAGGCAGCTGCAGGCGCTCAAGGAGTCGGCTCCGGAGCTGCATTCCGAGCTGCGGATCGCCGTACGACGGGCCTTCCAGGTGATCTGCCAGGAGGTTGCCAGGAGCGCGCCACGCGGGCGGAAGCTGGGCAGCTGCGTGCATGAGTGCTGGGCGACACTGGATGCGTTCCTCGAGGGCACTGCAGGTACGACAAACATGGTTGGGTACGACACGTGGGTGGGTGCGTACGACAAACGTGGCTGGGTACGGCAAGAGTGATAGCTAGTAGGGGTAACCGAAAAGAGGCATGGACGAGCGGCTGGGTGGTTGGTTGTAACGTCTAGCGGCTTCACGGGAGGCTTCACAGGAGGACACATGTGCACGCACGCACGCAAGGCGGTAGCAACCACGCCGCCTCCGCAGCTTGCACATGCGTTTGCCTGCCACAGCCTACCTTATCTGGCTCCTTGACGCAACTCCTCACACTCTCCATGCTCCTCACCCCTCCTTCATGTTGTGCTCCTCAGAGCTAACCTCCGTCATGGTGGAAAACGCACTGGCAGCGGCAGCGGTGGCGCCGGCCGGGCTGTCCCCCCATCCGCCCAGCGCGGCGACCAGCGGTGGCAGTCATCATGGCAGCGGCTGTCATGGTGGACGACACCACCCCTCATGCGGCACGGAGGGGCCCCACTCGCATGACCCGGTGCGGGAGGTTGAGCGCATGCGGGTGAGTGGCCGCATGGGGGCCCTGTTCATACACAAGCACATTTCTTTGAGCAACTATCAATCATACTTGTTGATCATGTTGACCGCATTACAAAGAAAAAACCGTGCCCGCATACCGGCATGCGCAGGCCTGGCACCCTTACGCATCATCCGTGCATCCCCCTTGCATCGTCCTCCTTGCCCTCCTTCACCGGCCGTACACCCTCTTCCTGCAGGCGGCCAACATGGATCTCCAGCAGCAACTGGAGGAGTGCCAGGCACGCCTCGCGACTGCCGAAGCCACTTCCACCGGCCCTGCTGCTGCTGCCGCCTCCACACCCGGGGAAGCGGGCGGCGCGCACACGGGTAGTACACGTGCGGGGTGCAAGGGCGGCGGGGGCACGTGCCCTCGGCCTCCCGCTGCGTTCGCTTCCCCGCCGCAGGAGACATGTCCGGGTACTTCCCCTAGGTGCGGACTGTTGGGGGAGGAGGGGCTGGTGGGTACGCTTGATGGGTCGGCAGGAGCCCCCTTGCTTGGGGCGTTACGGGTCAAGCTGTGCTAAGAGCGCCTTGCGCATATGGGCATGGCTGACAAGACTGACGCTTGGAGCGAGGGGTTGAAGCCTTAATTAAACTTGTTTTGTTCCTGTACGCTTCACTTTACTGGCAATGTGCCTAAAACTCATCATTCCTGTGTTGCATGCAGGCGAGGCAGGCACGCGCGGGCGCAGCAGCAGCAGCAGCAACCGCGGCGGGAGAGCGACCCTGGTGTGCCTAGCAGCACTGCTGCCAGCGGCAGCAGTGGCAGCAGCGGCAGCACTGGTGACCCGGGCGACGGCGGCTTCGTCAGTGCCGGAGGGGGCGCTCCCTGTGCCCCCAGAGAGGGCCGTGGGGCAGTGCTCGCACGCACGGGAAGCGTCGTGGAGAGCTGCAGCGGCGGGCGACAAGTCACCTTTGCCGCCGTCGTTGCTGCCGGCAATGGCAGCAGCGGCGGGGGAGTTGAGTCGCCGCGCCTGTTTGGCGGCCGTACGACACAGCTTACGTCATCGTCATCGTCGGGGCTTCCGAGTCGGATTTCCTCACATGCGGAGTTGGTTATTGAGGATGATTCGTCAGAGGAGGAGGCGGAGGAGGACGGGGAGGAAGGTACGGCTGCGGCCGGCAGCAGCCTCGAGGCGCGGCGGCGGCGTGGGCTGATGCACTCTGCGTCCTTTGCGGAGTGGATGGAGGGGCGCATGGCTGCTGCTGCTGCTGCCAGGCGCCGGTGAGAGGGAAGATGTGGATAAAAAGAAGTAGAAGTGAAGGAGGAGGTGGAGGAGGAGGCAGATAGCGGAGGTGCGCTGTGGTGAGGAGTTAGAGGGGAAGTGGTGGTGCAGGAAGGCAGGAAGGCAGGAAGGAGGGTGCAAGGAAGGGGCCTGGTGGGCGGCTGGTGGGCAGCTGTCGTCGTGTTTACAGACTGAGTTGGATGTGGGCGAAGTGGACATGATTAATTGTTGGCCGTGTGGGGCTTACACATTTTTGTATATCATGGTTTTGCTGGTTTGCTGCGCTGCTGCTGCTGGGGGTGCGGCAGGGTTCTTTCGCCGCTGGATAGGCGCGCTTGTTGGTTAGGCGGCGTTTGTCCTGTCGTGTCAAAACGATGCAGTGCTAATTGTACAGCATGCACGTACATGCATATCATTTGGGCAGGGCTGTCTGCATGGCAAAATGCCCCGACACGACTTAATACAAGGCATAGCAGCCATCCGAAAGACATGCTAACGTGACATTCCTCCTTCATGACCTTCATAATCTTATTGATATTCGCGGGGATTCAGACACACCTAGCCGTGGTCATGTTGTGATTCCTGTGAAGTGGCTACGGCAATTCATTACAATGCCGAAGAGGCAGGCGCAGGGGTAGAGTCTAACATGCTATTTGGATTATTTTGATAGCAGGGCTGACAGCACGAGAGGGGCAGCGGTTGGGAGGGTAGGTGCACGACATGCGCTGGGCGGTCAAATAGCCCTAAATATATGGCATGCAAGGATGTGTGACATGGGGTGTTGCGCCATGTTGCTCCTCTCCTGCGTAATTGCTTCATGCAAGCATGCAGGAATCATGTATGTAAGGTGCTTCAGTGCTTTGTTGACAGGCTTAACTGATTGATTCGTTCGGTCGGTGTACGCTAGTCGCTGCTTTCGGTATGTCCGGGGCTGTGCAGTACGGTAAGTGTACGACATGGTATCGGTTGTGGTGGGGGGCGGGTGTTGCCCAGGAGGAGGAGGAGGAGGAGCAGCGTCGCTTTGCACGTGCGCTGCCGTTGCGGGGATAATGCTTCGCCGTTAGGTGGTCGGCGGGGCTGCGGTTCGGTAGCTGAAAGAGGCCATGTGTGTTGACTTTTTGCTGCTTTATTATTTTTTGAGGGTCGGCTATACCGAGCATGTAGAACCCCTTTCCCATCCCGGGGCCCTCGCCTCGTGCTAGGACATTGCACGAAACGGCATGTAGTGCATTCATGTACTTGTGCGGGACGTCCATGAACAAAATGACTTCTATGAATAAAATTAAATTCTTGTAAATATGTACGAACTCCACGTCACGGCGATCCCTAAACTGGCCTCTCCAATCTCCAGTCAGGAGGGCGAGGGCTGCGACATGCAAAGCCTGCTCGCTAGGACGTTACTTAACACGCTCTAACAGCAACTGTTAGTGGAAACAGTGCAGTAATCTGCAATAGTAATATGGCACCGCCGCATAAATGCAAAGGTATAAAAGCGACAGGCTTTTCCCCGGGTTTTCTCAACCATTTGTCCATATCGTCTAGTGCATCTTTCCTCACTGGGCCGCTATGCTTCTGTACCATCAACCACCAAAAGAGAGCCCCAACGCACGCCGCGCACGCACGCACGCATGCAAAACCCTACCTGCCATTGTCTCCATGATGCACTAGTGTCTGAGAGCTATCATTGTATTCCCGTATCGCTGTATGTACATGCGTGCCGGAGCCTGAGTTTCTATTGCGTCATCATCGTCCTCCGCTATTGGGACGTCCGAGCTACTGCTGTTACTACGGCACTGCAACTACTGCTGGTTAGCGTCTTACTAGTTATCACCGGCAGCCAGCTCCATCGCCATCTCGAACCATGGGTCTTTCCCGTGTACGACATCCGAGCGCCCCAGCAGCGCAAACCCTGCCTTGTCGTACAGCGGGATCTGCCAGATGAGGGATTTGAAAAATCACGGACGAAACCACACAGGAACCGCGATGTCAAGAGTGGTCCAGAGTCACCACAGAGACAGCGATTCAAGCAAAAGGAGGAGGGCAGAGAAGCCAAGGAATGGGTGTTTTCGAGATCTAAGCAGTAAAGTAGTCCGGCATCCACGCCCCAAGCAACCAGGCTGAACCACATCAATCCAACACTGACCCAGATCATCCTAACCCAGCCCAGATCAGGGCTCCGAAACCCACCAGGTCCTGCTTGCAGATGAGCCGTATCCCCCGCAGGTGCGGCGTGCTGGCCTGCACGTAGGCAGCGTAGGCCCGCAGCATCCGGGTTGCCAGGCCCCGTCTCCGCAGCCCCTCCTCAACCACGACTGCAAGGAGGAGGGATGTGGTGAAAGGGGGCTGGGAAGGCGAAAGGGAGGTGCATGCGGGATGTGACACGCCGAGGGGATTTGTAGCTGCAACCACCGTGGGTTAGAAGGTGGGCTGTCCTGCACTGGGGGCATCTAGGTGCTCAGATGGCCGCCCTAAGCCTCAGGTATTCAAGGCAATTCCCAATCCTTCGCCACCCCACGGCTTGCACCTTAATGCACTCCTTCCGTCCCATGGCACGTTACGATCCCGCTTCACATACGACATACCAGAATGGATACACAGGAGTGTGCCATCAGGTTCGTGAGTCGCCATGGAGTCGTGCGTCAGACGGCCAGAGCAGGTACATGTGCCACAGACGTAGCCAACAACAGCAGGGTCTGATTCGCCGTCGCGGCACTGCATTGCTACTAGAAACACATTGGATGCTGACTCAATTCGGAATTTCAGCTTCTCGAAGGTTGCAGCTTCATCAGCAGGGTATGATGTGGCTTCTAAGCTGTGTATCCGATCTAGGTGCTCTGGCTGAACGGGACAGAAGAATACCGAGCTGCCCAATTCTTCATAATGGCTGCAGCCCTCAGGGGCATCAGCACTGGTCATTCGTGATCTATGTCCCGTATTACACAAAGCAGCAGCTGGAAAATTCTTATGTGCGTCTGAGGGGATCGCAAGTCATGGGTGGTGGCTGGAGCGTTTTCGAGGAACATAAGGCCTGGATTGTGGGTGTTTCTTCCTTGCAAGGCTGCCACTTTGTACACTTTTAGTGCTGCTTCAATTGCAAACTTTGACCCCGTATACGCTGTGTATCTGGGCCCCCGAGCCACGCCGCAAACATGGCTCTGGCGATGAAGCAGTCTGTTTCGCCGCTGGCTGTCAGGTGCGACAGCACATAACTCCAATTGATCCAAATAGCCATAGATTGTTCAAAACTTCATTTGGGGTGCGCAGGAAAGCCTGCCAGCCGCTGCTCCCGCCTCGGCCCTGTGTACGTCGCTCAGGTGCGGGTGCTTCCAGGCCACCATGAATTGCCTTCCAGCAGTGCTATTCTGACTCACTAGACACCTCCTGATTAACTATAGGGGTCGGATCTGGATCGCGGCGTGCAGCGGTGTGCGTCAAGGCAAGCCTGTTGGAGCCCAGCACCGCAGCCAGGTAGTTGTTCCAGCGCTCGCGACGCTCATATGCAGCCCTACCATTCTGTTTTCTTACTTTTGGTGTCGCACGATCCAATCACAGCGCCGTGGAGGCTGTGCACCATGCCCAGCACTTGTATACGCTGGCTGAGGGAGGACCCATCGACATGCTGGCGCAGTTCTTCGAGTCTGTTTTGCGGGTGGGTGGCGCTAACAGCTACGCTGCAGAAGTCCTGGGTAGCTGCTTGGAGATATGGGTATATGCGTGGGGATGTTGTGCCAACCGGCCGTCCCTTCACGCAGACGCTGGACGATGGTTTGGAAAAGGCGCACGTGCCCTACTCCTACGGCTTTTCCATCATCGCCCTGACAGTCCTGGTCAAGCTGGCGACCTTCCCTCTAACACAAAAGCAGGTAATTAGGTGGCTGAAGTGCCTGTCCCTGACGAACCTGTGACTCATCTCCTTTGGATGGGCCTGTAAATGGACATGCCTGAACCAACACGCGTTGACCAGCAAGCCGCCTTCACCCTCGGCTCCTTGCCGCTTGCCTTTTTTATTCTTCACGCACCCTAAACGCTACTCACATCCTAACCCATCCTCGCATCCTCACGCACGCAGGTGGAGTCAACGCTTGCGCTGCAGGCGCTCCAGCCGCGCGTCAAGGAGCTCCAAGCCAAGCACGCAGACGACCCAGAGAACCTGCAGCTGGAGACAGCTCGCCTGTACAAGGAGGCCGGTGTGAACCCGCTGGCGGGCTGCCTGCCCACCTTCGCCACCATCCCCGTCTTCATCGGCCTCTACAACGCGCTGAGCCACGCGGCCAAGGCGGGCTTGCTGACGGAGGGCTTCTTCTGGATCCCCTCCCTGGGCGGCCCCACCACCATCGTGAGTGACACCCAGCACAGGGCAGGACAGGGCTCAGGGGGCGGCAAAGAGCAGAGCAGGAGGGGATGGTGCTGGGAATCGGAAAGGGAACACGAGCGCCCCTGTTGCAGTTTAGGGCAGGACTGTGGGTAGGAAGCGTGGAGGGAGCGCGTAAATTACAATGCCGCTTCTTGAGTCCTCCTCCTCCTACATTTCACACTCCACCCCCACCCCCATATGCTGACCCACATCCCATGTTCCCATCCCACCCCGCCCCTTCCCGTCTCCCCCCCCCCTTCAGGGTGGCGGTCTGGAGTGGCTGTTCCCCTTCCAAGACGGCGCCCCGCCGGTGGGCTGGTCCGCCGCCGCCGCCTACCTGGTGATGCCGGTGCTGCTGGTGGCCTCGCAGTACGTGTCGCAGAAGATCATCTCGCAGCAGAGCAACACCGACCCCTCGCAGCAGCAGGCGCAGGCCATCCTCAAGTTCCTGCCGCTCATGATTGGTGAGGGGGCTGGAGGGACGGAGGAAGAAGAGATGGATGGAAATCCGCACTGGCGCGGGGGAGAGGATTGGGGATTGGGGAGGGGGTGTGGGTGGAGTGCGGGGCCGGAGAGGCGGGAGGAGAGGCAGTAAGGTGAGTTGGGAGGCGAGGGCGGTGGTGTGAGGCTTGGCTGGACCGTCGCTTGGCTGAGCGACGGCAGGGGAGCACCAGGTAGCGGCACGAGCCCCGTTGGTCCGCACGATTCCGCATCGGAGCAGGAGTCGTTCTGCTTGCTTGGGTTCACCCAATTGAGTTCACCCAAGCACAATACAGACAACTGACAACCTAGGCTGCCAAAGGGAGGAGGACCGGAGCAGCAGCAGCAGCAGCAGCACCGAGCCGTTCTGTCACAGCAGCAGCACCAGCAGCGGCCTTGGAAAGCGGGTCGTGCTGGCTTCCGCACATGCGCGCGTTTCTCAAATATGGGAAGAGAACGAGGCTGGGAAGCGGCAGCCGCTGCGCTGCTTGCCGCTGGGTCCGCAGTCCTGTGCATCTCAGGAGGCGGCGGTTACACGTGATGACGCGGCGGGGCTACCGGGGTGTGGCGGTGTCGCGGCTACACGGCCCTTCATCACCATCCCCGCCGCCTGCAGAGGCGCAGCATGCATGCATGCAGGCGAGCGCGGCAGCGGGGGCTGCTGCTTTGGGGTGCTTGGGAAAGCGGCAGCTGCTCGTCCCTTTTGAGACAGGAGAGCACAGCGAGTGGAGGCAGGCGCAGGGGGCTGGCAACTCGGGGTTGCCGTACGGCACGTTTAGGCGGGAGAGGCGGTGGGGTTGTCGGCGTCTCGCAGCGCAGCGGCTTTTGCCATATACAGACTCCCCTCGCTGCTAAAGGCGAAACACAGCCACAGCGAAAGGCGCTGCACATTCAATGGTAGCCCCGTTGTGGCTTACGTCGCTGGCCGACAACACCCGGGCTTATCCTGCCTACCGAGCAGTCCATGCACTGTAAAGCTCTGGAATACCGGACTTACGACCCCGCCAGCTCGTGTCTAGATTACATCAAAGCCGCCTCGAACGACCCGCTTTCCGGCTGCGATCCCCTTCCGATGCAGTGTGCCTGCTCCTCTCTGTCCCCGGATCTCTGTCTCCGGCATCCCCTGCCCGCGCCTCACCCCACCCCACCCCCCTTCTGCCCTCAGGCTGGTTCTCCCTGAACGTCCCCTCCGGCCTCACGCTCTACTGGTTCGTCAACAACATCCTGTCCACCGCGCAGCAGCTCTACCTCAAGGCAACTGTCAAGGTAGGGGAAAGGAAGAATACCCAATTTGGTGATTGAGGAGGAGGGGGCGAAGGTTGGCGGCTGGCGGGGAGGCCAGGGAGGAGGGGGTGCGGTCCTGGCTGCCTCGCGTACAGCAGCGCAGGCGGCGAGGTGGTGGGGGCCAGCTGCCTAGCCATGGGCAGCGAGGTGTTGGGGGCAGGTCTAGGAGCTACGGGCAAAGCACCGTACCCGCTACAACATGGCAGGCTGGCCCTTAACACACCGTGGGGGTGTGGGAGAGGGGGGACACCTAACTGGCAGCAGCGGAGAAAGCCATGTGCTCGTCGTCCTCGATCCCCATTTGCTACCTTTTCTGACATACCCGATATATGTCCACGGTCCAACCCCGTCCCTCCCAATCCGCCACCCGCGCCGCCACCTCCAAACCCCCCCAGGTGCACATCCCCGAGGCCATCAAGGCCCCCACCGCCTCCTCCGGCAGCGGCACCGTCATTAAACCCAAGGAGGAGCGGGTCAAGAAGGTCACAGGTGGGGGCCGGAATGTAAAAGTGGGCATGGGAGTCCAGCATGCTTTTGTGCGTGGGGTGCTGATACTCGGGGTGGTGGGGGCTGGGATGTCCCTCGGGGCGGCAGCATGCTAGGGGCTGGAGCTTTTCGGCAGCATGCAGCAGCAACCCTGGCTTCGCAAGGCCCTGTGGTCGGGAGGGACGTCTTCTTTCCCGGCTGCCGAATGTGTCACAGGCCCAACACATGCATGCATGTCCTCGCATGTCTTTGCTACCCCCACTCACCATGCCTCGCCCACACGTTCACAGGCAAGGAGATGGGTGCGCGGAAGAAGCGGCGGAACGAGGCAGGGGAGGAGGTGGACGATTCTGATTCGGAGGCGGCTTCCACCAGCGGCTTCAGCAGCAGCAACGGTGCAAGCCCCACCAGCAGCAGAAACGGCAACGGAGTCAGCAGCAGCAGCAGCGTTGGAAGCATGGATGGTTCTTCCCGGAAGGGTGAGAAATTCCGGGCACTGAAGGCGCGGGAGGCAGCGGCGAAGGCAGCCCAAGCGGTGCAAGCGCCTGCGGTCAAGGCGCAAGCAGGAGGGTCAAGCCAAGGGGATGGAGCGGAGGGATCGGAGAACGGCAATGGTTCTTCATCGGCGTAAGGGATGTTGTGCGTTGGCGTGTGCGTGTGTTTAGGGTAAAAGAGCGTTTGGAGGTGGTTCAGTAGTTACGTGGATTGCTGTACAATGGCAATGTGATGGCAGGGCAGGGATACCGGTAGGTAGCCACGTTAGGTTGGGCTGCATGAAAAGGAAGATGCTGGTGTAGAGGCAGTGGCATTGTTTATTGTATCTGTCGAGTACAAAACGTCGGGGAGTACTGTGATTGGAAGAGCCGGGAGGCTAGGGCATAATGTTTGGCTTGAACGCGGCGTTGAGAGCGCGGATGCGGCTAGCAGATAGGCGCCACAGGAGCATATCGAGTGCGGGCGTGTTTGTCGGTATTTCGCCAATGCAGTGCATTCTGTCTGGTGCTTGCAAGGACCGTGGGTCGTTTTGTCGTCGCAGGGCGGTAGCGGCTTTCTGTCGCGACCAGGGTGCAAATTTTGGGACTTAAGGCGTGAGGCGAGACCATGAGAGCGGAGGGAAGGTCAGGAGTGGTTGCTGTCCAGCGAGGGGGGTGCGCATCGAGAGCTTACTCAAAGAGTTGTACGAGTTGGACGCTTGACTCGGCATGTTCTCACTTCGGCACAAAAGGCACTTTACAAATAAAGATGCTGTAAAGTTTTATGCAAGTATTATTTGCCTGCGCATCCCCCATCTTCAAATTGCCCGAAGTTTCAAGAGAGATATTAGACTCCACAGGCACTTGATAGGGGCATCCTTCTTGACACAGGAGACGCTTTATAGATACGCTTTCAAAGTAACTAACTAACAACACTAACAAATGGCTGACACAGCGGCCTCGGTGAGCATGGGTATGGACGGAAATTCTTACCTTTCCTTCAGAATTTCCCAATTAAATAGAAGGAGGCATTAGTGTTAATTGCGCAAATCACCTTGGGCGTTGCCTTGCAAGAGGTCACATGGCATGTCTTGCGCAAACGCTGAGGCAACGACGCCTTCCCGCAACCGATCCTGCAGGGGCATGCTCCGGGCCACATAGAAACGGAGGGAAATGGTAAATTCTATTTCCCATCTGGAGCGACATACGAGGGGCAATGGAAGCTTCTCAACCCTCCTGCACCACCCGCACCCGAGGACCCAAAGGAGGTGAAGAAGAAGAAAGCAAAGGATGAGCCTCCCCCACCCCCTCAGGAGCCACCAAAGCGGGTTCGCCATGGGAAAGGTAGGCTAACACCGTGGAAAAGGGGTTGGTGGTGATGATGGGTACTTCGCCATGTGTACTCCCGACCCGTTATCCGTGCATACTCGCGACCAGCAACTCTCAGATGTACAAATACTTTACCCAGGCGTTTCGTACAATTTACCACAGCACGTCACGCATACTGGTAACGAGAGCCCCCACCAAACCATGGATCGCATCCCGCCTGTGTACGGCAGGTGTGTACCGCGAGGGGAACTACGTGTACGAAGGGGACTTTGTGGACGACATGATTCAGGGTCACGGCACCTTCACGTACGCCAGCGGTGCCAAGTACGTGGGCGAATGGAAGGCCAACAAATACCATGGCAAGGTAAGAGCTGGGTTGGGGGCTGGGAAGTGTGGATTCGGAATCCAAAGTTGCCTTGGGAGCGTGTGCGCGCGGCCTCCCCTACACTGCCATTCATGTCCTTCCACTTAGTTGCCCCCCTGCTCTTCACGATTCTTCTACGTCGCCCACCGACAGCCTGGTCCGCCTCACGGTCTAACGTCCCGTGCATGTTTACTGCCTGTGTGCTGCTGCTGTGCGCCCCGGGCACCCCAGGGGACCTACTACTGGCCGGATGGGCGGCGCTACGACGGCATGTGGGAGGAGAACCGCATGCACGGGCTGGGCGTTTTCACGGACGCGTCTGGGCACAAGTGGGAGGGGCAGTTCTTCAACGGCAGCGGGCCGGGGCTCACAAGCCTGGTGTGAGGCAGGGGGAGCTTGGGGGGAGCGTTGAGGTAAAGAAGGGTACGCAGTATGTTGAATGAGGATGGCAAGCAGGCCGACGAGCGTTGGGGAGGTGCGAGCGAGGGAGGAGCGGAGGGGGTGGGGGTTGTGTGTGCAAGTGAGCTGTTAGCGTGAAGTCGTTCGCTAGACTGACTCTACCTATACGGGATGGCCCTTGACTCCATTTTGCTAGGTGCAGCCTGGATGTTTGCTGTGTGAGTTAGCGCTACCGCTAATTCCTTTACTACGGAGCCATGTCGGAACAGGCTTTGATAAGCGTGCCCAGTGGCTTCCTGTCACAGGCTGGGAGTAAAGAGGGAAGGTGAGGAACCTTCGTCCCACCACTCAACACCTCTTGCCGCACAGCTTTACAGCCCATGTCACAGCATGTATGGGCTGCCTGCCCTTCCCGAATGCAAGGTTGCTACCGTATAGCGAAATCCCAAAGCAACATGGCGATGAGCCCACCCAGACCGGCATGGCTGGTACGGAGCTCCGTACAACGCTGTACAGTACGGGCAGTGTAACAACAGTTAAAACACAACCCACTCCTGCGATCCCGCCTTCCTACATTCGCCCCTGGCCGCAACCCTGGTGAACAAACCTTCACACAGCCGTCGCTCTCCACATCCTGCTCACCTGCTATTAACCGATCACCGTTGCCCGCCCCAACCGACACATCCTGTAAGCATTACCGCCAGGTCTCTTCCACGGCGCTCAACGGAAGTGTGCGCATCATGTTTAGGAGCCAGAGGAGAGCTGGCTCCTAGCTGAATTCGTCGGATGACGGGTCGTCTTACTCGCCGTACAAAGTCGTAGTCCAACCCTTTTATAGCTCAGACCTCTCCAGTTATCTCCCTCTTACTGGGTTGATAGAGAACCCTTGCATCGCCGCACTTCTTTGCAAAGCACCTTCTGAACGTCATACAAACTCTCTTAAACAGGAACCCTTGACAGCAAAAGTTTTTGTATCGTTGAGTCATCTTTGCTGATTTTGTCGCTGTCCCAAAAGAGAGATGCCGCCGAAGGCCGATGCTAAGAATGCCAGCGAGCCGAAGGGAGCTGCCCGCTTCGGCCGCGTCCGCAACTCGCTTAAGATGGGGATCGTCGGGCTGCCGAACGTAGGCAAGAGCTCTTTGTTCAACCTCCTAACGGAGCAGGTATGGCGGCTGCGTTTACGATGTTCGTATCGGGCGCGCTCGCGAGGCCGACGAATTGCTTCGATGCATATAGATTAGCATGGATCACCAACCGGAATTGCTTTGAGGGCGTCGACTTCCAGCTGCGTCCGTGTACTGTTGCATGCCGACTACAACCGCCCGTTTTCCAGACTGCTTTCGATCCAATTATGTTAAAATATAATAATGTTTTCTGACTCGCTTAAGCCTCAACATGGTTGCTTTTAAATCTCTCGTCCTTGGTATGTGGCTTTGACCCGCCCTTTTCCGTTGACCGTCGTTGCTGCTGCCCATTTCCTCATCCTTCACTCACATTCCAGAACATCGCTGCCGAGAACTACCCCTTCTGCACCATCGACCCCAACGAGAGCCGTTGTGCCGTACCGGACGAGCGCTATGACTGGCTCTGCAACCTCTGGAAGCCGCCCAGCATGTGAGGGGTCCGGGAGGGTGTGAGGGACCCGATACGTGGGACCTCCCAAGCTGGAAACGCCACAGCATCTCCACTCAAAGCTTGCGGGGATTGCAGGTGGCGAAAGCCCTGGTCACGTAGCTGACTGGCTAGCACCCCTCTCCTCCCGCGCCCCTCCCCCCCCCGCAAAGGTACCCCGCCTACCTGCAAGTGACGGACATTGCTGGTCTGGTTCGAGGCGCCGCGGAGGGTGCGGGGCTGGGTAACGCCTTCCTGTCGCACATCTCGGCAGTGGATGGCATCTTCCATGTGGTGGGTGCGGGGGGGGGGCGGGGTGTGGGGATTGGGGTGGGGAGGGGTAAACATAAGGAAACCGACGAGGCGGGAGGGGGGGGAGGGTGTAAAGAGGAAACTGACAAGCTGTATGACACGGCTTAACCATGGGGGGGGATATGGGACTTGTACCGTGACCTGATGTGGGACATACCTCTTTGCGACGCGAGTGCCTCGTGATGTGCTGTGCAACGTGCCTTCTCCTTCCCCCCACCCCACCCCACCCCTCCTCCGCATGCCTCCTCCACCCCCCCACCCCACCCCCCTCCCACCCAGGTTCGCGCCTTCGACAACGACGAGGTGGTCCACGTGGACGACTCGGTGGACCCCATCCGCGACCTGGAGACCATCCAGGTGGGGGGGGAGGGGGAGGGGGAGGGAGGGGGTGAAGAGGGAGATGCCGTACTAACAAGGCGAGGGGGGGGGGTGCAAGGAGGGCCTGCATGGGTACGGGCATGGGGGTTACGCACCGGGCGTTGTAACTCTTACCTGTCTTCACATCTTGCCCTCCTCCCCCTTTCCCCCTCCCCCTCCCTCCCTCCCCCCCGACCCAGATGGAGCTGTGCAAGAAGGACCTGGAGTTCGTGGCCAAGGCGGAGGAGAAGGAGCTGCGCGACGTGAAGAAGAGCCAGGGCATGAAGATCTCGCTGGTGTTCACGAGCACCTTTGAGAAGGTCAAGGAGATGCTCAAGGTGGGGATGCAGGGGGGGGACAGGGAGGGGGAGGGAGGGGCAGGGAGGGATGGGGGGGACTCGGGGCAAAGAAGACTAAGCATAAGACAGCAAGAGCTCTCGGCACACGAAAACATGGGCTCGCAAGGCATTTAAAGCCTGGGGCAAGGGATGGGGTGGCGTTGGCGGCCAGTTGGGCAGGAAGGGAGGGGACTCCACTGCGCTCACTGCATGGCTTGGGTTGTGGGATTGGGACTCCAGTTGCTTCACTTTCCATTTGCTCCTCTCCCCCCCCCCTCGCTTCCCTCGTCCCCCAGGAGAACAAGCCGGTTCGCTGCGGCGACTTCAACAGCAAGGAGGTGGAGCTCATCCGCGAGAAGCTGGACAACCTGATCACCACCAAGCCGGTGGTCTACCTGGTCAACCTTAGCGCGGACGACTACATCCGCAAGAAGAACAAGTGGCTGGCCAAGATCCATGCCTGGATCCAGGTGGGGGGCAGGGGGGTGCAGGGGAGAGGAGGAAGCTAATGAACCGTAGGAGGGTGGGGGAGGAGCAGGGTGCGGTTCTCTGTACCTTCCCCCTGCTTCATTCCCCCTCCTCTCTCTCCCCCTCACTCCTTGACTGGTTTGGAACTCTAGTGCTGCCCTTCTCGCTTATTTCTTCTCCCCACCTCCCTCCTCCCCTCCCTCCCATCCCCCCGCAGGCCCACGGCGGCGGAGTGCTGATCCCCTTCAGTGTGGAGTGGGAGGGCAAGCTGTGGGCCACGCGGGACGACCCAGATGGCCGCAAGGCCTTCCTGGACGCCAGCGGGGGGGCGGTGTCGGCCATGCCAAAGATGGTGGTGCAGGTGTGTGATTTGGGGGGGGAGGGAGACAGCGTGTCTTGGGCAGTTGTGGGTTGGTTGGGGTAACTACTTTCTTCTCTTATCTGTAAGCACACCAGAGCAGCAGCAGCGGCGGCAACGGGTGTGGGCCTTAGCCTGGTGCCTTAGCCTGGTGCTGCGAACAGGAGCCCTGCGTTCCCCTCCCTTTCGTTCCTCCCACCCCTCTCACCCCCTCTTCTCCTTTTGGCCCCCATTGGGTATTCTTCTCTCCCCTTCTCCCCTCTTCCCCCCAGGGTTTCAAGGAGCTCAACCTGATCTACTTCTTCACGGCGGGTGAGACGGAGGTGCGCTGCTGGACCATCCAGAAGGGCACGCTGGCGCCCCAGGCGGCGGGGGTGATCCACTCGGACTTTGAGAGGGGATTCATCAAGGCGGAGGTGGGGCCGGGCGGGGGTTGGGGTGAGGGGGGGGTGGGGTGAGGGTGAAGGGGAAGGGTGGGGAAGGGGAAGGGAGGAGCGGAAGCTGCAAGGAGGGAGGGAGGGGTGTAACTGGTCGGCTTGCAGGCGAGGGGGCATGTGAGGGGCTGGGGGGGAGCAGGGGGAGCATTGCCCTGCTGCTGCTGCTGCTGCTGCGCTTCCTCGTTCCTCGAAATCCTCTTTTCGTGTCTGTACCCTCAAACCCTCCTCCCCTCCCTCCCCCGCCGCCCCCCTCCCTCTCCTCCTCCCCTCCCGCTGCAGGTTGTGGCCTACGACGACTTCCGCTCCATCGCCACCAGCAAGAGCATGATGGAGGTGAAGGCGGCGGGCAAATACCGGCAGGAGGGCAAGCAGTACGAGGTGCAGGACGGGGACATCATCCACTTCCAGGTACCTGGGAGGGAGGGGGGGAGGGAGGGGGGACAACGGCCATGGGAGCCATGGGAAACCACAGTGTGATGAGCAAAACAAGTGGGGAGAGGGAGGAGGAGGAGAAGATACCGTCAAGAGGATGATACGGTAGCGGTGACTCCTGGGAAGGAGAGGGTGAGAGGAAGGCCGTGTCAGTGTATACAACGCCTTGCGGATGTACGGCACCCTCCTCATGCGAATGTACGGCACCCTCATCCTGCGGCCTTGCGCTTCATCCCTTGTTGTTCCCGCCCCCTCCCGCAGTTCAACGTGACCGCATCCGGCAAGAAGTGAGCGGAGGTGTGTGTGTTTAGGAAACTGGCCGCGACGAAGTGAGAGGTGGACGTGTGCGCGCAGCGATTGCATTCAACAACACACGCGCGGTGCGGAACAACAACGCCCGAGGGTTGCGGTTGACATGCCGGGGTGGGCTGGTGCTGTGTGAGCTGCAGTGGCGGCAGCAGCAGCAGCAGCAACAGCGGCGGTGACAGGTTAACCTGTGATGCATGCGTCTTTCATACCTGTTTGACTTTCTGTGTTGACCTTTGAGCAACGTTCATTACCGCACAGGGCGTGCGTGTATGCGTTCCTTGTTGATACGGTCAGCGGTCGCTTTTGCTTATAACCCCGGCGCGGTGGTTAGGGCGGATTGACCTGGAAACGACATGAGTTGACCTGTCAGTGAACGGCGATCGACGTGTATTGACGGGGTTTGACGTGCTTGGCGGTGTATAGGCCGTTATGGTTAACGTTATCCGTGTGAGAAACACACATGAGCAAGCTACACCTCTCAGGCATGCAGGCAGGCGTAACGTGATGACAGATTCGCGATCTGCATACTGACTTGGGATTTGACGTACTGACTACGACACAATCCAACAATGGATGGTAGGATGGATGCATTGCGTGTGTGCGTCCCCTGTGTGAGGAGGAAGTGTTTGCACGAAGCCGACCCCTCCTTAGGTCGGTCCAGTTTCGCTGGGTGGGCATGTGGACTAGCGAGCTTTCGGCATGCGGGGCATGTGCATGGCCCACCGAAGTAGTGTGCACCCCACCCTTGCGCGTGAGGAGGAGAAAGGGGGGTGGGTTCTGACGCGGGTGGTGCAGAGCTGGCCGCATGGGGGAAGGTGGGTGGGACGCAAAGGAGAGCTGGTGACGGAGGGATTAGATGAACTGAGCCGCGAGGAAACACTGACCGGCGGCGATTTACCAGCAACAGATGGCGAGCTGGGGAGCTTCCTCCCTCTGCCTGCTACCCTCCTGCCCCACCAGCCCGGCTACCCACGTACGGCAAGCAGCTATGCACACGAGTGCAACAGCTACCATGCACATGCGGTACAACTCACCCCCCCTCGCCCCCCCATTTTCTAGCGCGCCTGCCTCTTCTCCACCCCCCCCCCCACCGGCCCCACCTGCCATGCATGCAAATTGCCGTTTGGCCGCGCAGTAGGTGCCTGCAGCGTAGCACCCTCGTCTCACATGTTTCGGCATGTTCCCCGTACCGACCCTGTACATCCTAGCGCTTCTCAACAACGCTGACAGTGGGAAAGACCGCGCTGACAAGTCACCGCAGCACGTCTACAGTAGAATGCACAGTAGGCTTACCACACAACACAACAGAGCGCGCTTCAACACGCAGCCTTGCTGCAACCTACCCGCTACAATTCATGTCTCCTTTTTCACTCTTCTCCACTACACTCCTTCAACCTCTTCTGCCTCGCACGACAAGCACCATCACGCCCGCCCCATCCCCTCCCCTGCCCGCCCACTGCATAAGTCGGGATTTGGGATGGGAACTCCGTTGCTGCAGTTATCTTTTATTCTCCCCGCCCGCTCCCCTAATCTCGTATCGTCGTCGTCGCTGCCCCCTCCGCCGCTGTCCCCGCCGCTGCCTGGCTAGTCATCTCCAGCCCCTCTCCCTCCCCCCCTCCCAGCGAGGTGAGGGAGGCAGTGCTGCCCACGGAGGGGCGCAGCAGCGCCGCGGGACTGGCCAGCAGACTCGCCTGGGGGTGGGGGGGAGGGGGGAGGGGAGCAGGGGAGGTGAGGGGCGCACTTTTAGTGGGAAGGGGAGGTGCCAGTGGGAAGGCAGCAAGAAAGCAAGAGAGCAAAGCGACACCCAGCACGCATGTCAACAACCATGCCCCACTCCTGCATGCCTCCCCCCCCCCCCCCCCACCCCCCACCTGCGACGCCCCCCCCACCTGCGAGGCTCCCCCGGTGATCTGCCGGCGCACCAGCTGCGCATACCCGCCCCCGGCAGCCAGCAGCTCGGAGTGGGTGCCGACCTTGGGGGTAGGTGGGGGGGAAATTTGGAAACAGAATCCGAATTAGGCTGGATATTTGGGTTAGCATATAATTGTAGTTGTTGTATAGTTAGTAGCATCAATCAGTAACAAACCGTATTGTAAGCTCCGTGGCGGCTGGGGTGATCTGAGATCACTCTGCATTGGCGAATAAAAGGCGGCTGCTACTGTGATAACTGGCTCCACTGCGCTAGACCTGATGTCTGTGCTGCAATGCTGTCAGCAGCATAACGTATGTAAGCTCCGCTGCTTAGCTGGGGCTGTCATGCGGCTGTGTGCACCAAAGCATCCCACCCTGCCCGACCCTCGCAAATGACCCATGGGTCTAACAAAGCCCAGCCCATCCACTAGTCCGAACCCTGACTAACCTGCGTAGCAAGGGAAAATTGTGCAGCGAAGACGTACCAAATTTCGTTAATAGTGAGCGAAAAGCGTCCAGAGACACAAGAAGGCGGCGCGACGAGCGAACAGAAGGCAGGCATGCGTCCCTGTGCTGTGCTGGTGCTGCGAGCTGCGCTGTATATTGACGCATGCTGTATGACGATGAAGATGGCTGACTTATCGTGATGAAAGAGACGGGACTATGCCGAGAGTTAGTATTTATGCGAAAGGCGGCGATGCGAAGTACGGCATGGGACGAGCATGCTTAATTTAGTGCAAGCGCAGTATGGGTATAATGATCTAGATATGGAGAAGGTGCAAAACGTGCGATGCCAGTGAAATGGGGGGAGGGGAGGGAAGGATTAGGGCATGTGAGGAAAGCCGCACCCACAGAGGTGCGGAGGGGAGCGGGGAAGTTGCCTGTCCTACCTCCTGCACCGTGCCGCCTCCAATCACGTATATCCTGTCCGCCCCCTGGATGGTGGACAGCCGGTGGGCGATCACCAGCACGGTGCGCCCCGTCATCACGCGACTGAGCGCCTCCTGCACCAGGGCCTGCGGGGGGGGAGGGGGAGGGGGCAGAGAGGGGGGGGCAGGAGAGGGAAGGCAGGGAGGTCGGGGGGAGGAGGGAGGGCTGGTATGCGCTGCTGCGGAGGATGATGGTTGGAGTGCGATAAGGGGGCATGCGACGACGGGGCATGCGAAGAAGGGGCATGCGGCCGCCTTCCCCAATGCCCTCCCTCCCCGCCTCCCCACCCCACCTCGCTGTCCGCATCCAATGCGCTGGTTGCCTCATCAAGCAACAACACCCTCGGCCGCCGCACCAGCGCCCGCGCAATGGCGATGCGCTGCCGCTGTCCCCCGCTCAGCGCCGCCCCGCGCTCCCCGCAACACGTGTCGTAGCCAGCCGGCAGGCGGGAGATGAAGTCATGGGCATTGGCCTGACGCGCCGCCTCCTCCACCTCAGCCTGTGTTGGCGTGTAGGGGCAGCCGTCCTCGGGCTCCAGCCCCAGTACGATGTTGCGGCGAATGGATCTGCCGTACAACACGGGCTCCTGGCTGACCAACGCCACCTGCCTCCGGAACCACTTTGGATCCAGATCTCCGATGTCATGACCGTCCAGCAACACACTGCAGAGGGGGCGCCGTACGGGTGAGGGGTGCCGTACGTGTGAGAGCCGGGCGGCTAGTCGCGTCAAGGGAATGCGCGATAGGTGAGCAGAGCGACCTTTCATTCTCATCTCCCGGTACCCCCCTCTCCTTTTCATTCTCCTTCACCAATCGCGCGAATTGGTTGTTCCCCCCCTCCCCTCCTCTCTACCTCCCCCCCCTTTCCTGCCTCACCTCCCCTCTGTAGGCAGGTAGAACCGCTCAATCAGCTTCACGATGCTCGACTTGCCCCCACCCGAGGGACCCACAAGCGCCACCACCTCACCTGGGGGGGGAGGGGGAGGAGGGGGAGGAGTGACCCGTGGGTCGGTAAGGAGGCTAAACGATGCCATAGGTAATACTGAAACGTGACACTGAGTGCATACAGGATGCACACACTGGGTTAGGAAGAGCTGCACCCAATCATGCAGCCATAGCCATGTGTATGTGCACGCCCCTCATCCTCCAGGGTTTTGTCCCCCCCGCCCCCCTCCTTCCCCTTCTAACTTGACCCACCCACCCGGCTGCACCACCAGGTCCAGCCCGCTCAGCACCCGCACGTGCGGGCGGGCGGGGTAGGCGAAACACACACGCCGCAGCTCCACCCGCCCCGCCAGGGAGGGCAGCACCGTGCGGCCGCCGGCGGGGAAGGCGGGCGGCCGGTGAATGAGCTCCACCACCTGCAGGTGGGGTGTGTGTATGGGGGGGTGGGAGAGCGGGGGGAGGGACATGGGAGAGGGGAGAGAGGAGACGAGGGGAAGCCGGCGAAATTCCCGTACTCACATACACACACAGCGCCACATCCTCCCCCCCACCCCTCCTCCCCCCCCACCCCTCCCCTCCCCACCTTCTCCGCCGCCCCCAGCGCCCCCACCAGCGTGCTGACCACATCCCCCATGGCGGTGAAGGCGGCAGACAGCGACTGCTGGTACAGCATGAACGACACCAGGCTGCCGGGGCTCATCTGGGGGGAGGGGGAGGGGGAGGGGGACAGACGAATCTCCAATTGGGGGGGGGATTGGGGGTCAGGCAGCGAGGCCCGACACATGTATCGCAACCGACGCCCACCGGCCCCGCATGGACACCCTTCACACCCCTCCCCTGCTCCCGCTCCCGCTCATGGTGAAGCCTTGTCAGTTCTTCCCCCCCCCTCACCCTCCCCGCCAGCACCAGGTTGCCTCCGTAGAACAGCACCACCGCCGCCACCAGGCCGGGCAGGAAGGTGTTGAGGGCGGCGTACACCGCGTACAACAGCGCCTCGGTGAGCTGGGGGATAGGGGGGAGGGGGGAGGGGGGGACAAAGACCATACCGAACCATAAGAAGCCACAGGATGGGGCAAGACAATGGGGGAGGGGGAGGGGGGAGGTGTTAAGAGCATGTGGTGCCGGTGGAAGCTTTGGACGTGCGCCTAGCGTGTGCCCCCCACCCCCCACCCCCCACCCACCTGCAGGCGGTAAAAGTCGGCCAGTTTGGCGGCGTATGCTGCCTGGGTGGAGTCCTGAGCCGCATGCGCCTTGATGGTTCCCATGCTGCCCAGCGCCTCCTCCGCCACCCCGTTGGCGGCGGCCAGGGAGGACTGCACGCGCCGGGCTAGGCGGCTGTAGTAGTGCCCGTACACCTGGGGGGTGGGGGAGGGAGGAGGAGAGGGGGGGGGGGTTCGATAAAGCCGATAATGGCAAAGGCAAGCCGTGGTGGAAGGGGGAGGGGGAGGAGGGTAAGAGGTCACGCGCAGGTATCCCCCTGAGGGGCCCCCTGATTACCCCCTGTCACCCCCTCTCGTGATTTCTTTCCCTCTCCTTATCCCCTTCTCTTCCCCCTCTTTCCCCCCCTACCGCTCCTCCCCCTCATACACACACACACACCTGGCTGATGGTCATGACCACCGGCACCAGTATGAAGGTGACCACAGTCAGGCGCCAGGAGGCGGCGAACATGAACACGAGCACCATGGCAGCCTGGGGGGGGAGGGGGGAGGGGGGGAAGAGCGAAGTATATGCCGACTGTTTTGCCGCGGGCGACCCGGACACCCCCCTCCCATGCAACCCGGATGCGATCCCCGCACACACAAACACACACATACCTGAGTGGCACTCCGCATCAACACGTTGAGGTTGAGGCCGATCTACATCTCGAAGGGTTGGGGTGGGGTGGGGTGGGAGTGGGAGTGAGCATGCACGATGTGGTGGGGAAGCGTGAGATGCGGTCAGCAGCAGCAGCAGCAGCAGCAGCAGCGGGGTGGGGCAGGCGGTGCACGCACATCCTACCAGAACCCTCTCTGCTTTCCGTCCCATCCCATTCCCTCCCCCCCCCCCCCACCTGATCCGCCACGGTGGACGTGTCGGCTGCCAGTCGGGAGGTGATCTCGCCGGTCTTGCTGGCGTCGAAGAAACCCATGTCTTGCTGGGCGGGGCAGGGGCGGGGGGGGGTGAGTGAAAAGCAGAAAATCCATTGTATTGGATGAGCATGGATGTAAAAACGAGACGGCAAGCCCTGGTGAATGGTGTATCGTCAGCAAGGTAGGAGGAGCGAGGGACACTCGAGGGGCACCAGTCACAACGCCCCGCTCCCCCCCTCTCCCCCCCCCCCACCTGCAGCAGCGAGTGCAGCAGGCCCCTCCTCAGCCCAACATTCAGCCTGCAACCCAGCACCGTGAACAGCCCGCCCCGCCCGCCGGTGAAGACAGCGGTGAGGGCGGCGACGGCAAGCAGGCGGAGGGTGGTGCGGGAGAACTGGGACCTAAGGGGGGGAGAGGGGGAGAGGGGGCAGGGGATGTGGGAGTATGTGATAGGTAGCTTGTTCCGACGTCTTATCCCCCCCCCGTACAGACCTGTGCACACCGCACATACCGCTCTCAACGCACCCCTCTTGTCATGCCACCTGCTTCCACTCGCGGCCAGTGTTTGTAACACGCACGCACATCTGTGTCGCGATTTACTGAGCTCCACACAAGCCCACCTGTCGGGCTCGATGGACGCGAAGTCGATGATCTGTCCGGTGAGGTAGGGCAGCAGTGCGGCCCCCAGCGCCGCCACCACCCCCGCGCTCAGCGCCACCGCCAGCAGTCCCCCCTCGGAGGCAGCCAGACGCAGCAGCGCATGCAGCGTGCGGAGGCGGAGCTGGTTTGGGGAGGAGGGGGGAGGGGGGAGGGGGAGGGGAAAGAAGAATACCCAATGTGTGCATTGAGAATGGCAAACAAGAGAGGGGAGGGAAGGGAGGGGAGGGGAGGCAACAGGAGGCTACTTACTTAACACGCGCCGAGTGTTAGTAAACACCGCGAGGGAGAGCGGGAGTAAGAAGCACCCCTTCTGCCGCAGCTGCTGCCCCTGCCCCCGCTGCCCCTGCTGCCCCCGCTGCCCCCGCTTCCTCACCTTGGCTCGGCGCCTGCGACCCTCCTTGACACTCTCTCCGGGTACCTCACCCGCATCCTCACCACCCTTGCCCTCGCCCTCCTTCGCCCCTGCTCCTCCCGCCCCTCCAGCTGCCGCCGCCAGCAGCGGAGTGCGCAGGGCGGCCTCCCCCCCTGCACCCCCCCGCCTGACACCTGCCGCCCCCGCCTCCGCCACCCCCCCCTCCTCCTCCTCCTCCCACGCGTCCTCCCTCGCAGTCACCAGCGCTGCGGCCAGCGGGCGGTCGGCCAGACTGCATAGCAGGCTCACAACTGGGGGGAGGGGGTGGGTGGGTGGGAGGGTTTGATGGGTGGGGTGTGGGAGGCGAAAACCGGGGAGGAAAGAGAGCAACCCACCACCCTCCACCTCTTCGCAGCATGTAACGTAACACCTAACGGTATAACCACTCACTGATCCACCCATTCACAGGACGTTCCTCATCGCACCACCCACCCACATCCCTCCCACCCACCCCCATCCATCCGCCTCACTCACCAATCGCAACGTACATGTAGACAAGACCCACCACCGACTGCCCGGCAGCCGCACCCCCACCACCTCCTCCACCTCCACCTCCACCACCTGCCGGCTGCGGCGGCGGCCAGAGGTCGGGTGGTGCCGTCACCGCCACCGCCGCCGCCTTGACCAGCAGGAAGGCCACATGCACACCGCACAGCAGAGAGACGGCCTGGCGAACCTGGGGAAGAGGGGAGGGAGGTGGGGGGAAGAGGGGAGGGAGGTGGGGGGAAGAGGGGAGGGAGATGGGGGGAAGAGGGGAATCCCAAGGTATTTAATGATGCTAGCAACCAAGCGGACGAGCAGAGGGAGGGGGAGGGGGAGGAGGGACGCGTGCGTGTGTGTTTGCGTGTACGGCAATGCTTTGGTGGAGAGACACAAAAGTGTAGGCGAGGTGCGACATCCCCCGCTGCAACGTGCGACATCCCCTCTTGAATCTCCCGCCCCAGCAGCAGCAACAGCAACAGCAACAACCGCACCAGCGCTCTCACCGTCTCATGGTTGGAGGTGGCTGTATGCTGCTCGCCACCCTCCGCCTCGCCTCCTCCTCCACCCCCAACCCCACTCGCCATCCCCATCCTGCTCACACCACCACCGCTGCTCCTGCCCCTGTTCCTGCTAACCCCTCCCCTGCTGCTGCTCCCCCTGCTGCCCCTACGGCTGCTGGTTGGCGTGGAGGTAATGAGCAGCAGCAGCGACAGCAGCTTGCCCCAGCACAGCAGGAACACGTCCAGGTTGCCCAGAGCGAAGCTGTACACCTCGCGCCAGCTGCTGGCGCCGCCGCCGCCGTGAAGCAGCTGCGGCAGCTGGTGACGTAGCGGCCACAGGGCGCACCTGGGGGAGGGGGAAGAGGTGGGGGGCGCGGGAGGGAGGTGGGGAGATGGGGAGCTGGAAGAGGATGGCCGCGAGGATGGAGGCTTGTGAAGTTTTCTGAGTAGGTCGCCAGGGATGGCGGGTGTTTAACGACGTGGGTGGTGCGTGGAAGTCGGGAATTATACATGCCGAATGGGCGCCCCTCGGGCGGGAATGGGGCAGGTTGGCAAGCGGCAACCCAGCTGCAATTCACAGCTCAAATATGCTAGTCAGGATTGTGCACTATCCTCTAGGGTGCTCTGCGCGCTTCCGCGCAATCCTTGTGTGCCATGCCAATGGCGCAATGAGTGGTGGAATGTTGCACTGGCGTTAGCTATCGCGGTGCCAGCCATAAGCTCTGAGGTCTGCTCAGCATTACATCCTACCATGACACTGTTGCAGCCTCGATCAAAGCAAGCACCCAAAGTAGGATGGCAGAAGTGCTGGCCATTGGTGGGCTGCCTCAGCACGGAGGCTTTCACAACTATCAATTAGCTTTAGGCCTTCTCTGGTGTCCTCAAAAAAGGGTAGGGGTGTTACGCGTTCCCGGGCCTGCCAGGTATACCAGGATGGTGGGGAAAGACGTCCCTTGTGCGTATCAATAGACGCACGTGTTTGATCATGTAACCCCGCTGACCTATATATGCTGCATTGAGGTTGGATGTAGAAGTTAACCCTGGCTTGCATTAGTGGGGCCAACCGCCACGTGAACAAGATAATCAACTGTGGCCATGTTCACCAAAACGTATACTGCCAGTATTATTCAATAACGTTGCTTTGGCTGACAGTGTTGCTGGCCAGACTCTACCTTCCTTTCCTGCGCCGAACCAATTAAGTGGTGCGTGCCAGGGCCATACCGTGGCAAATACTTTCGACAAGTATTATGTACTGATTTAGCGTAATAGAACACAAGACCGCAAATACCCAAATTGGTGCTCGACACATTCTTTATTACGCCGCACGCCCCGCTCGCCAACCAGTAAGCATACCGAAAGCTACCCCTTACCCTCAGACCTCACTTCATTCCTTAATGGTTAAAGCCAAAGGACATAGCTGACTGGGACCCAGCGCACGTTGTGCATGTCATCGGCTCATCCCGCTGCAAAGCCCTCCTGACGACAGCAACACCGCAGCTCCCAAGGCATACGGCAGCGCACCCTCTTAACAACTACACTCCTCAGCTGCATTTCACAAGTCGATTGCTGAGGGAAGGGTCCTGTGGTCCTGACACCCGCGACACACCATTACAATTGGCGCCAACGTGCGCTTGTACGGCACCGCCCGCACGACCGGTAACGTACGACCCGTACCATTACCAGACCCCCTGCCACACACTGCCCTCGCGGTTTCAGCAAGGGCTACACTATCCCGGGGCAGTGTCATTGCTAGGCGCAGGATGGCCTCATCAACTGCAGCAGCAGCAGCGGAGGTAATACCGGCACCACCGCCGCCGGAAGATGGGGAAGAAGCGATGGTGGTTGCTGCTACTGGGGTAGCAGGGCCTGCGGGGGCATTAGCAGGGGCGGCGGACGGGGCAGCATCGACAGGCACACCGGCAGCAGCAGCAGTGACAGCAACAATGGAGGCACTGCAGGCGACGGCGACGGCGGGTGAGGCTGAGTCTGCTGGGGCTGCTGCAGTGGCTGCTGCGGCTGCCGGTACGGAGGGCTCCTCTCCCACCACTCCCCTCCCCTCCCTTCCCACCTCAGAGGAGGGTGTACTGCAGCTGCTGGAGCTGCCGGTGTGCGGCAACCTAGGGGGGCTGCAGGTGCTGCCCTCGGCGGGGGAGCTGCGGGTGAGGGGCAGGGGGGGTGGGAGGGAGGGGGGGCGGACTCACCCTGACATGCAATGGAGTGGTTGTACGTGTGTGTGGAAAGCGAAGCGAGGAACGGCTTGTTGCTATATGATGAGAGGGCAGCTGGCTGGGCATACAACGCACCTCCCACGTGCCGTCCCAACCTCCGCCACCGCCTTTAACCCTCCCCCTCCCCCCTCCCTCCCTCTCCCCCCAGTCCCTGCTGTGTCACGCGGTGCAGCTGGCCTCCCACCTGGCCGCCAGCAGGCCGCATGTGGCCAACCTGGACAAGCTGACTCGCAGGTGGATGGGGGGGGTCAAATTTTGGACCAATTAAAACCATAGAAATTAGAAAAACCAAAAAAGAAAAAAGCAGGGATTCACAAGGCAGAGGGAGGGTTAGTGGTCCCTACCGAAACCGCGTCCGTGGGGGGGGGGGGGGCGGGGGCGGGGTTGGAGGCAGAAGGGGCAGCCAAGGGAATCACCGTAAGAGGGACGGGGAAGCTGCCCCCAACCTTGCCAACGACGTTACATTGTTGACCGTTATAGCTTCCTGCTGCTGCTGCTCCTGTTGCCGCTCCTGTTGTTGTTGTAGGATTCGCAGCGATTTGGAATTCGTACAGCGCTGCTGTCCCCCCGGGGCGGAGGCGGCAGCGACGGAGGCGGAGGCGGCAGGAGTGGCGTCACAAGGAGCAGCAACAACAGCAGCACCAACAACGCCACTACCACCAGCACCAGCAGCAGCAGGGGGAGCGGAGCTTGCCTCGATAGAAGCCACGGAGGCCGAGGAGGCAACGGATGCAAGGGAGGAGGTGGCGCTAGCGGGGGGTGGACCCCCGGGCGATGCTGATGCGGGAGGCAGCACAGGAGGCAGTGGTAAGGGCGGAGGAGGCGGCGGTAACGGCGACGGAAGAGGAGGCGGCGGTAACGGCGACGGAAGAGGAGGCGGCGGTAACGGCGGAGGAGGGCGCAGCACGTCCTCCGGGGCTCGGCTGCTTCCGCTGACGCCCACTCGCGTGCAGGGCATTATCAACAACCTGAGGGGCTTCCAGGTGGGGGGGTCTGGGGGTGGGGGTGGGGGCTGGGGGGCTGGGGGAGTTGTGCGCGAGCGGGCGGAGGGATGTGGGTGTGGCGCGCGGCTCAGGGGGATGTCAGGGGTCCAGGAGGGAACCGAGGCACATGCGCGGCAAAGCCTGGATCTTTAGATTTAAACGGGCACCTTCCATCCCTCCATCTCTGCCTCTTTCTCAAAAAACCCTAAAACCCCTCCAGGGAGAGCTCCTGGCGGCCCAGTGCGCCCCCGGGGTGGTTGCCGTACTCCGCCGCTTCCAAGCTGCCGTACCGCTGCAACCGCAACTGCTGCAACCGCCAACGACACAACCGCAACCGCCATCACAGCTGGGTACGGCAGATGCGGCTGCAGTAGTGGTCGGGCAGAAGAGGCCGCTGGCTGCAGCTACAGGCGAGGAGGATGCTGCCGCTGCTGCTGCAGTTGCAGTTGCTACTGCAGCCGCCGAAGATGAGGACGATGGAGGGGCCTCCGACGCAGCCCAGCAGCGCAATCCAGCGGTCGTCACCAAGGGCGGCAAACAAAGCAGTAGCGGTGGCGGCGGCGGGAAAGGCCGCGGCAGCAAGGGCAGCAAGGGCGGTGGCGGTGGTGGCGGTGGTTGTCCGCTGGTGTCGTTGTCGGTTGAGGTGGACGTTGTAGCCCAGGGGGGGCACTGCTGGGTGGAGGTGAAGAACCAGGAGGTGTTTGGGACGGAGAGTGTGCACTGGACGGGTGGGTGGGGGTGGGGGTGGGTGGGTGGGTGGGGTGGGGGTGTTGAGGGGTGGGAGGGTGGGCGGTGAGGTGGGGAGGCTTGCATGGAGGTGTTGCGGACAGGGGTGTTGCGGCAAGAGAGGCCGGGGTCCTCTTCGTTTCCTTCTAATGGTTAGAAGGTCAGAAACCCCTAGCTACCACCTGCCCTCCCTCCTTCCTTCAGTCGTCCCAATCGCCTCAATGCCTACCCCTCTCTCTTCCCCCCCACTTCCCTCCCTCCCCCCCCACCTCCTCCCCCCCAAGGCTCCTCCCGCGGCCACGTCAAGTGCAAGGGGCTGCGGCGGCAAGCTGCCGAGCTGCTGGCGGTTGCCGCGGCCCCGCAGCACTGGCGCCGCTGGAGGCCGCCGGCAGTGGTGCTGTTCTTCCCTGGGGGGGTGGCGGAGGGAGTGGCGCGGGAGCTGAGGGGCATGGGGGCGCATGTGGCGGTGGGGGCAGGTGCGGGCGGGGGGGAGGGGGATAAAGAGGAAACAACTAACTGAGGGGAGGGGGAGGGGGAAGGGGAAGGGGGGGGGGTAAAACACTGGGGTGGGGCGGGTGGGGTGTGTGGCTGCGGGCGGGAGCATCATGAAGGTGGTAGGGTATGCTGCCGTCTGCTGGTGAATACCACGCCCATGCACAACGCAACCCTCTCTTTCCCGCTCCCTTTTTTACCGCGTCCCTCATATCCCCCCGCCCCCCCCCCCAACTCCCATGTCACTCGCGCCCCCCCCTCCCCCCCAGACTCCCTGCGCCACCTGCCGCCCCCGCCCCCGCCCCCCGCCGCCACCTGCCTTGACGTCACCACGCTGTGTGGGCTGGTGAGCGAGGTCACCAACGGGGGGGTGCACGACAGCGCCGTACAGCAGTGGGCGCAACGCACCGTACACTGGAGGGTAGGAGGGGCGGGAGGAAGGGTGGGCGGGTGGGTGGGCGGGTGGGTGGGGAGTGGGGTGCTCACCTGGTAAGATATGAAGGGATAGAGGTGGGAGTAGGGGGGAGCTATGGGGGAAAGTTAGGGCCGTACAATAAGTAGTAGGTTACAAAACACACACGCCACACCTGCACCCTGTCACCCCTGTCCTCTCCCGCCTCCCGCCTCCCTTTCCCCCCGCCTCAGGACTGCCTGGCTGCCGAGCGCGCCTCCCCCCTGCTGCAGCAGCTCGCCACCTGGCTGACCCCCGGTCGCCCGCTGCTGGCTGCGGACCTGGCGTGCAGGCAGTTCCAGGTGGGGGGGTGGGGGGGATGGAGGGGGATGGAGGGGGATGGAGGGGGATGGAGGGGGATGGAGGGGGATGGAGGGGGATGGAGGGGGATGGAGGGGGATGGAGGGGGATGGAGGGGGATGGAGGGGGATGGAGGGGGATGGAGGGGGATGGAGGGGGATGGAGGGGGATGGAGGGGGATGGAGGGGGATGGAGGGGGATGGTGGGTGGGGAGGTGTGCGAGCTGCCCAGCCCAGCAGTCCCCCAGCTGCATGCAGTGTTGTGTCACAGCAGCCAGTGCACTTCGGGATGTGCTCTGCAGCCACAGCAGCCACAGCACCCCAGCAGCTGCAGAAGGCACATGCCACCATAACAGCAGCACAGCAGCGCTGCCCCTCCCGCTCCCAGCAGTACGGCATAGCGCAACAAGAGGCACCTGCCTGCATCAAGCCAACCCAACCGACGTGGCGGTGTTCTAGCTGATAGCGGTGTGTTGTGTTGGTGTGGCCTCCTCGCCTCCCTCCCCCCTGATTGGGAGTCCAGTTGTTGCACTTATCATTTCCTCCCCCCCCCTCCCACCGCTGTACGGCCTGCAGGTGCTGCTGGACGTGCACGGGGGCCCGAAGGAGCGGCAGCGCTGGGAGCAGCTGCAGGGGCGGTTGACGGTGGTGCAGACGGAGGGGCGGCCGGAGGTGCGGGGGTGTTCTTGCGTGCGTATGTTCAGAAAACTACCCGCGAGTCGGACCGTAATGTCATTGTGCACGTGCGTATGCGTTCTGGCGTCCGAGAATCATGCATGTAGGTATTCGTTTTCTCGACGTGTGCATGAGGGAGTGGGGAAACCGCCTTACCCCCACCTCGCACCCTACCCTCCCACCCTCCCGCCCCCCGGCCCCCCCCCCCCAGGAGCTGTGCCCCCGCTGCCGCCAGCTGCTGGGCGGGCTGCTGGGGGCCGACCAGCTGGCCGTGTTCGGGCTGGGCGAGGCGCGGCGGGCACTCAGCCTGACAGCCAACGGTAATGCGGTTCGCAGTGCGGAGCGGGCGGGGGTGACGTTGGAGGCGGTGGTGCACCGACCCGTGTGGCTGACGGGCAGGTGAGGTGAGGTGAGGGGTGAGGAAGGAGGAGGAGGGGGAGGAGGGGTGAGGAAGGAGGAGGAGTGAGGAAGGAGGAGGAGGGGTGAGGAAGGAGGAGGAGGAGGAGGGAAGGTGGTGAGGAAGGAGGAGGAGGAGAAGGGAAGGTGGTGAGGAAGGAACATGACCGAATCCAAATCCAAACCGTGATGCCTGGGTGAGCCGAGGGTGGACGGTGGAGCAGGATGCTTAATGGGTTAAGCCCTTCCTGCCTGGCTGTGTGCATGCGGCTGGCGAGCGTAGCGGCTGACATAGAGACTGCGAGCAGGGGGGCGCGAGCGCTGCTGTAACGGTGATGGACGTCCATTCGGTGATGGCTGCGAGCTTAGCGGCGCGAGGTGTATGGGGGGCTGCTAGGGAGCGGTGCGAACTGCGAACCGGGTGGCGAACAGGTGTGTCGCCAGGTGCTGCTCTGCGGCAGCAGCCAGAAGCGATCCTTTTACAAAAGGATTCATGAAAGTGTTCACAGGGCAGATAATGAACCCGTGTTCCTCTCAGGAAACCACTGTAACGGTGATTCATTATTCAGATAATGAACACTGTTAGGCTTGTGAGTTGTGACCCTGTTGTCCCGGCACGGCCCGCGCAAGCAAACAAGCCGTCATGCCATTAAACGCATATTATCGAACCGTTTGCAAGATCGCGGTAGGCTTGCAGCAGTCCTCTGCTTAGCTTCCGAACGAGACACAACAACACTCCGCTTCCAGCCTCCTGCCGTACACGCAAAAACACCATCCACCGTATTTTTGTTCCATAGTACACATTGCAAGAACCTTAACCCCAAACAGTCCAAACGCCTTTCACCCTGCATGTGCGCAGCATTCGTGTACGAAAGCACACACGGCAAGGCCAAGCAACAATGCACATGGTGCTGGGATGCCTGGGACACACAAAGGGTGCCAATGCGTTGCGTTGCGTTGCGCCTGCATCCCATATACTTACAGCGCAATGCTTTAGTCTCCATTCTCCCATGTACGAGGGAGCAGCAGCAGCGGCAGCAGCGACAAGTACACAGGCACACGGCCCCCACCACTGTAATTGTTCCGTCAAGCCTGCACAAGCACAAGAGCAATGCAAGGCAATACACACACCCAGCGGTGCCGACAGCAGTCCAAAGTTCCCTCACAATCCACACAGCCTCCTAACTCTCATACAAAAGCAATCGCGTGCGTCTCTCTACAGCCCCTTCTTTTGCCTCGTTTAAATCTTGTGACAAGTGCGCAACAGCATCATTTAATACTACCAGTAGCTTCCATCACACGGCGCTTCCTTCACCGGCCCAGCATCAGCACACAGTCTGCATCACAACCGCTGCACCACCCCTCCACCACCACCCCACCAATTCGCATGCCTCAGTGCTCCTCCCGAGTGGTGCGGCGGCTGCGGGCCGAGGTGGGGCCGGAGGAGCCCGCCAGACCCGGGGGCGGCACGTCGGGCAGCTCCTCACCGTCCGCGGTGCTGCCATCAGCTGCGAGGGGGGGGGGGGTGTGGAGGGGAGGGGGGGAATTTCAATTAAGTGAAACAACGAGTCCCAATCCCATATCCCGACTCATGCGGTGAGGTGTGGTGAGTGGGCGTGATGAGGGGGTGAGGAAAGGAGGGGTGGGAAGAGGTTAACAAGGTACGAGGATCAGGCGCAGTGTGAGGGGGGCTACACGTGTGGACAAGTCCTCTACAGCCACCATCACCAGAGCCACCAACCGACACCACCACCAAACAACAACGTCAGCATCTCTCCTCCATCTACTACCACGCCCTCCTCGCCCTACCCGCAGCCCGCCCCCAACGCCCGCGCTAACGCCGCAACCCTCCCACCCCAGCCCTCTTCCCGCCACCCACCATGCGTCCTGTCGCCCCCCCTGCGTGCGGGCGGCGTGTAGGTCTGGTGCCCCGCCTTAACCTTGCGCGGGGGCTGCAGGGCGGCAGTAGCGGCGGCAGCGGCGGTGGCCCCCCCGGGGGTGCCGGAGCCCCGAGCCTGGTGCGGGCCCTCCTCGGCATCCTGGGAGGAGGGAAGGGGGGAGGAAGAGGGTGAGGAGGGAGGGGAGAAGCAAGGGTGTACGCCAGCAAGCGGGAGGAGGCGAGACAGCTTACACGCCACAGGGCGGGTACAGTAGGAGGAAGCCCACGACGACGACGTCGAGGGAACTGAAGCGAGGTTAGGGCATGACAACTCACGGAAAAGAGAAAAGGAGGAAAACCAGCTTAGCAACGTAACCAGCAAGCCAAAGGGGCTGCCCCGATAGGCCAGGTAAAGCCACGCCCCCCTGGCTCCTCCCACACCAGCTCTGTCCTCCCCCCCCCCTCGCCCTCACTCTCCTCCTCCACCTCACCCTCCTCCTCCAGTTGGCCGCCTCATCGGGGTTGCCCTCCCCTTCCGCCGCATCCCGGTCATCATGCAGGTAGCCCCGGTCACCGAAGCGAGGCAGCGGGGGGGAGGCGCCCTCGGCAGCAGCATCAGCACCGCCACCGCCACCGCCACCACGGGCCCTCCCACCCCGGTCGCCCCGGCCGCCGCGGCGAGTGTTGTCGGCGGAGGAGCCGTTGCCTGCAGCGGGCTGCTGCCTGCCGCGGGGATGACAGGGAAAACGGAGCGGAGGTGGCGAGGTTCAGTGTTCTGAAGTTAAGAGGACTGAGGGATGGGGTGAGGCAGCATCGATTGTCCAGGATCATGGCCCGCCCAGCCCAAAAACCCAACCCCACGCCCTGTTTCAGTACACCTGCTGCTGTCCTCCTCCTCCTCCTCTACAACGCGCCCAACTTCCATCCAACCACCCACCTGTCGCCTCCAGCCGTCGCCGCAGCAGCTGCAGCCGCCGCGGCCGCCACCGCCACCGCCGCCACGTTGCTCCCCTCCCTCCTTCCCCGACCACCACCATTACCACCTCCCCCAGTCGATCCCGTCTCATGATCCCGCTCCCGCTCCCTTTCCCTCTCCCGGCCGCTTCCCCGCGCCCCACGCCTGCCACCACCAGCACCACCTCCTCCTCCTCCTCCCAGGCTTCCAGTCCTCTCCATCGCGACTCCCGCCGGCCCCCCGGCAGCTGCAGGCACCGGCAGCCCCTGCAGGGCCCGCTGCAGCTGCCGCCGAGCCTCCTGCAGCGGCCCCGCGCCCATGCCGGTCTGCAGCGAGGAGCGCAGCTGCAGGGACCAGTCGGACGGCAACTCCGCAGCGGCTGCGGGGGACTGCGGGTGGGAGGGGTTGCGAGGAAGGGAGGGGAGGGGTGCGGCTCAGAAGAAGCAAGCCTCGTTTACCAGGCTCCGTCCTCCAGTGCACCGGGCTGCGTACATGCGGCCACCCAACCACCCACCCTCCCACCCACCGCCCCCTTACCCACCATCTTCCTGATCTGCTCCTCCGCCGCCGCCGCCACCGCCGCCGCCAGACCCTCCGCCACCCCCGCCAGCCAGCTCCCCGCCGCCTCCACCACCTGCTCGCAGTACCGCCGAGCACTCTCCTCAGCTACCGCACGCAACGCGGCAGCCAGCTCCGAAACCACCACCGCAGCACCTCCTCCTCCCGGTGACTGGGGCTGGGGTTGCTGAGGTTGCTGCTGGTCACGATGTGGGTCTGCTTGGCCCTCTGCGGCATCTGTGGCAGCACCGTTGGGGGGCTGTGGTTCGGCAGCTGCAACTGTGTCAGCTGCAGGAGCAGGTGCAGCGGGAGGAGGAGGAGCTGCTGCTGTGTCAGCGGGGGCAGCAGCGTCGGCTTGGGCGGCCGGGGCGGTAGCGTGCACGCCGTTGGTGTGGGATTCGGGGTCTGAGGTGGTTTTTACAGCGGGGCTGTCGGGTCCGTTATTTGTCGTTCCGGTGCCGTTGCCATGCGGCTGCTGAGAGTCGTGCTCCGCAACGCCAGCTGCTGACGACGCAGGAGAGCCTCTGGTTTCGCTTTGACGCCTGAGGAGGGAGGTTGCGCGGATGGCTCCAGTTTAGCTGCCCAGAAATGCGAGATAGGTCATGGGAGTTAGGAGATGTAAGGACGAACCCACATACCTTGTGTCCTTCACAGACCTCCAACTCCCATCGTCGGATGAGCTGCTCGGTTGAACAGCATGCGCTGCGACATGCTCACCGGGCGGAACAACCCGGGGGAAGACAGGACCGCGCAAGGACTCCTGCATGCATTTTGAGTATGCTTAGTATAAATGCGTGCCGTGGGGAACTGTGGTCAACCCTGGGGCTTTTTTGGCGGCCATGTTACGCTGGTACGCGGCAATTTCGGAGCAACCCATGCGCAAATATAAAAGCGTACCTCTTCTTCGACCTCGTCAGCCCAATTTGCCCTGTGGAAGTGGACCAAAGGCGAGTTTCAGCAAAGTTACGACTCAGCTTCCCTTCAACGTTGCCGCAGCTGTAGGGGTCCTCAAGCAAGTTAAGATCCTATTATGTACCGCCAACAAGCCTTACCCGGCGCTCAACATCGTGTTTTATCTGCGGCAACTTGTTTGTAACTCGTCTGCTTGCTTGATATGGCACGCGCTTCAGCGTTGCTCCAAGCTCTATTAATGTTGTTATCTATGAAAGATTCTTGTGTATGTTGTTAGCCAGAAATGTATCACTGCGAAACCTAGTCAGGTGGAAAACACCTCTCGTGTACCGCTTTCGTGCTTACGTTCTAAGCGACCATGATGCTGCTTCGGCAACGCTAAAGGTAAATGTGTCTTACCGCAACAGTTAGCTTTCCTTGGTAACTAGTCGACTTCTATGCTAGAAGCCGGGTCTATCCCGTTCGCAATGTACGGCATCAGAGCATGCGGTTGCTGTGCACGTTCCAGGCCCGCCAATAGCGTGAATACGAGTTAAATCCCCTTCAACCAGCTGAAGCTAGCCATGAATGTCTACGATCACTTCATTACAAGAGCATGCACCCGAATATGGACAGGGCCTATGCCACGCGTAGTTCATCATGTGTTGCTGCCGCACACCTCTTACCAAAGCCCCCACCCTCATACATGCCAAGTATACCCCTCTCTCCAAAATTGCAGCACCCGTTGCAGGCTCTTCCCCAGCTTGAGCGAAAGCAGAAGCAGAAAGTAACCCCACGCAGCCCACCTCGGTCTCCCTCCATGCCCGCACATGCTAACCGCAAACCGCTGTGCGGGGGGTAGATGGCCGCCACCCAACCGCAGCAATCCTTTCCTTTATTGAGCATAGTAACAACAAAGGCATGGTGACAACATTACCGGCAATACAATCGATGCAACTAATCCAAGTCGCAGCATCTACGGACTCAAGAAACATTCGGTGCAAGTACAACCAACCAGGCAGGCTACACAAAGTATGAAAGTAAGTGTTGCAACTGGTTCCAACACCCATGCAACTGGTTCCAACACCCATGCAACTGGTTCCAACACCAACGGCCCCGCTAACCGTGCTTCTTAGCCCATGTGAGCCAATCAAGGCCTACCCAGCAGTCCTTCCGCCACGTCCATCCATCGGCCCGGCACCACGGCAACTCCCATGCAAAGGTCTGACTCCCTGCCCCGCCCCCTCAACACCAACCCCTCCGCACCCACTACCCCTCTGCCAACCGCCTTCTCTCAGTCCGACATCACCTCAGCGGCACCTGCAGCAGCTGCAGCAGCCGCACCGCTGTCCTCCCCCTCCTGCTGCTCGGCGGCTGCGACTGCAGGTGCGGCGGCAGTCACCCCCGCCGTCCGCAGCAGCAGCCGCTTCATGGCCCCCGGCAGGCAGGCAGCCAGCTCCTCCAAGCTCTCCGGCGCCTGCTGCCCCACCTGCCACACCCGCGCCGCCAGCCACTCCTCCAGCCGCCCCGCCAGCCGCCCCAGCCCCGCCCGCTCCGCCCACAGCAGCTCCCGCACCGCACTGCCCGGCCGCACCCGCCGTAGCACCTCCCGACCCGCCACCTCGCTCAGCGCCGGCAGCAGCAGCCGGTCCGCCAGCTCGGCCAGCGGGTGCAGCAGCGGGCCGGGCAGCGGCTGCTGCGGGCCGCCGCCGCAGCCGCCGGTGTACAGGTAGCGCAGCACCAGCGCCAGCGCGTCGGGGTGCGCATCGGGCAGGGCAATCTCCCGGGCGGTGCTGTCGGCAAAGTCGCTGGTGAAGAGCTTGCGGAAGTAGGGGCAGCGCGCGGCGAGGATGGCGCGGTGGGCGGGGAAGCAGCGCCCGCCGGCCGTGAGAACCACATCTGCTGTCGCCGAGCCGAGGTCACCCTCCACCCCCTGCCCCTGCCCCTGCCCCTCCAACAGCGCACCCAGCTCTGAGCCCAGCTCGTCTGCGTCACCGCTGGTGGTGCTGCTGTAGGCAACCTCTGGCTGCTGCAGCAGCAGCATCCCTTGACCCGACATGCCGTACACCGCGATAACCCCGCCCGGAAGGCACGCAAGGCGCCAGAAATCAGGTTGGTAGTCCGCGCCGGTGTCGCTCTTCAGGTCAGGAATCAGGGTCACGACGCCGCCGCCCTGCCGCTTCATCACCCGCAGCGCCCTGCCGTCTAGCACGTACACGTCGCCGCTGTCTGGGTCGGCGGCGATGTCACGAATGCAGCTGAAGCGGGCGGTCTCCATGTCGCCATCAGCCATGTCAACCTGCGGGTCGCCGCCACTGGCGCTGCCCGCCACTGCCTTGCTGCCCCCCAGCTGAGCCACGTCGGAAATGCTGGTAGGGCTGCCTGCGAGCAGCAGCCTGCCCGTCGCAGCATCGAAGGTCAGACCGAACGCCCGCCGGATGTGTTCTCCCGTCGCGACGGTGATGACATCGGGGGCGTCCTGGAGTCGGTGCAGGTGCCGAACGTACATACCTAAACTGTTGTTGGGCAGCGCGGGCCAGAGGCCATCCCCTCTGGGCGGCCGAACCGCCTCCAGCGCAACAATCTGCCCGGCCGTCCAAACTGCCAGGTACTGCAGGTCGCCGAAGCGCGCCGTCTGCCCTGTCCCGTCGATGCTCATGCTGCTGAAGTAGGTGCCCGGCTGGCCTGCCAGCTTCTTCACCTCGTTACGGGAGGTCAACTCCATGATGCAGCCGTCCGCCGCCAGAATGAGGGAGTCGTGGTGAGGGTCGTAGGCGCCACACTTTGCGTCCTTGACAAGCTCGGCCGCGGGTCCAGTGAAGTCCAGCGGCGGGGCAAGCTTGGGGCTGCTGCCGAGAACGTATGTGCCGGCTCCTGAGTCGTCGTCCAGGCCATCCAACGGGCACACGCCGAAACTGCAGAATACCAGGGTTTGCTGGCGTCCGGGGATGGAGGGATGCGGGCGTGTGGCAACCAGTTGCACTTGCGGCGCCTCCACGACAGTTTTGTTCATCAGCTTGGAGCAAGCCATCCTCAGGCGCTAGTTCTGAAACTGGGTAGCAGGTGACTTGGGTTAACTCTCTTGTCTTGCGTTATAAAAGCTGGTCTCGAATATTATCCTTTGTATGTTTCGTGAGGTTCCTTTTGTTTGCCTTTGTGCAATTCGTTAATTCGTAAACGCGCCAAGGACACGCCGTCAGCTTGGTCCGAGGCGATGATCCAAACTTACAAAACATGACGACGTCCCGACGAAGCGCGGATTCAGACGAAGCGAAGCTAGCGTGGACAGGACTCCCGCAAACGGTGGCCCCCACGCCCCATGTACGTCTGTGGGTGTGCGGTCATGATGAAACGCCTCGACGCAACCCTTTCAGCAGCAGCAGCAGCAGCATCCCTCTTGCAAACATACCTACGATTCGCCTCCCTGACATCGAATGACCTGTATCGGCTGTATGACCTGTGGTCTGGTTCTCCGACCCCCGTCACCCATGTGCCGGCACTTGATGCTGGACTGTGCCCTGTGTTCCGGACGAGTGACCCGTGGGTCGTCAGGTACCGTCTCAAACCGTACTTACCGTAGCTGGCGGCATGGCCGCACATGCGGTGCGTGGTGCAGGCAGCTATAACACGCTTCCGCCAGTCGCACACAGTCGTTCCGGGCCGCTAGGCGCCCCTGCCGCTGCTATTCCTGCCCGCATGTGCGCGTGCGTACTACACTGCCTGATGCCACACAATAGCACGCTGGCACGCGGCACCCAAAGCAAGCAGCCGGGAGCCCCTGAGCGGGCGTGCACGTGGGGAGTACCGGTACCCTTTTTGTCTAGAGTCTACCGGTATCTACAGCCCATCTCGCGGCTGGATTCCTCACCCAGTAAAGTAGCACACACATCACAGGCTTGGAAGCGCGTTTCGCCAGCAGCACCACCACCACCACCACCACCACCACCACCACCACCACAACCACCACCACCACAACAACCGCCAAACGCGCCCGTCCTTGGGCTGACCGCCAACATGCGCCCCCCATCCAGTTAACGCGGTTATGGCATCAGGCGCTGCACGGCTGAGTGGGACGCTACCGCTCACACGCCCCACGCATGCAGCGATGGGTCACCATTCAGTACAAATATCAGTTGATGGTACATGTCCCAGCCTCAAGCTGGGAGGCGTCACAGGGGAGGGACAGCGCCTCAGGGTAGTACGACACACTCTTGCAGCGTGTCTCCCCGCACCGGTTGGGCAGGACACGGCCTCACCCTCCCCTCACCCTAGGTCCCAGCCTCAGCACAGACAATTACATGCCCCACCACAGCACAGGCCTCAGCACAGGCAACAAGACAGCTGCGGCCCACCCAGCCACACCCTAACTACTACCCGGGTAGCCACCCGGCTCGCTCGCCAGGAGGCTTCCTCAGCTTCCCAGCGGCAGCATCCCCAACCTGGTCACATCATGTAGCATGCGGCACCACATCATCCTCCCATCCGGGTGCACCCCACACCACACCACACACGCCCCTCATCTGATCTGGGCACACACGCCCCTCATCTGCGCACCAGTCTCCTAGCCGTACGCGCCTTCTCCGCCTCTATGATCCCCGACACCTGCCGCACGCACTCGTCTAGTGCGCCGTCGCGGTTCACCACCACTGCACGCATGCATGCAAGGGGGACGGGGGGGAAATTACACACGAAGTGCAAACAACGGGGGACGGGGGGTGTAAAGGGAAGGGTGCGCAAGGGTTCAAGCAGGGGGGGTGCAAAGGGAAGGAAAGGGTTCAAGCAGGCTGCCGGGCTCAAGAAAACAAGAGGGCTTCAAAGGGTGTACGGCAGGGAGAGGGACTTGAGCGAGGTGTACGGCATAGTAAGTCACAAAGAGGGAAGCCTCGTGTAGGGGAGCAAGGAAAGGCCCCATACACAACAACATACAAGCAAGTAAGGTTGCCGCCCCCCACCCCCACCCGCCCATGCAGTCAGCCCGCCCGCCCCTACCCACCGTAATCGAAGTTGGCGATGTGTTCGTTCTCCTGCCGAGCGGTGTTCACACGCACCAGCAGCTTATCCTGTGGGGGGCGGGGAGGAGCGGGGTGGAGCGGGGTGGGGGTGGTTAGGGAAGGTGTGGGGGGCGAGGCGGCAGTGCACCCAGCGGACCCACCCAGCCCTAAGAAACAGAGAGCCACCGCCCGTCCTTCCTCCAAGACAGCTCCTTACCAACCCATCCCCGTAACCCCCGACCCCCGCCTGCCCCCCTCCAGCTTCCGCCCCTCCCTACCAGCGGCTCCGTCTTTCTCGCCACCAGCCGCCTCACCAGCACCTCCTCGCTGTCCGCCGTCACGAAGATGGAGATGCAGTCGGGCATCAGCCGCTTGATGGTGGCGGCACCCTGACCGCCAGGTGGGGGGGGGGGTGGGGGCGGTGGGGAGGGCACGACGGGTTGGTGGGGTGGGAGGAGGGACAGAGGGTGTGTGTGTAGGGGTGATGGGGTCCGTGGAGGGAAGGTGAGGGATCCTCCTTCCTTCCTTCCTTCCTTCCTTCCCTCCATCCTCCATCCCTCCCTCACCCCCCATCCCACCTGCACATCAATCCGCAGCACCACATCCGTCCCCGCCGCCAGCGCCGCATCCACCTGCTGCCGCGGGATGCCCTTGTACTCGCCGTACACCAGCGCGTGCTCCAGCAGCAGCCCGCCAGCCAGCCAGCCCTCGAAGCGCTCGCGGCTCACGAAGAAGTAGTCGCGACCGTCCACCTCCCCGGGGCGCATGGGCCTGGGGTGCGGGGAGGGGGGAGGAGGGAGGGTTGGGAGTTGCGGGGGGAGGTGGCGGGAGGTGGAGAGGGAGGAGACTAGCCGGACCCATCCAGGCCAGCAGCCGAACCAGACAACAAGCAAGCACGAGAGGCCCCGCATGCTTCTCCACACCCCCCACCCCCCAACCCCCCCCCCACGTTCCCCCCACCTGGAGGTGGCGGTCACCACGAAGTACAGGTCAGGTCGCTGATGCTTGAGCCGCTCCAGCACCGCGTCCTTGCCCACACCGCTGGGGCCGCTGATCACGATGACAACCGGCTGGGCAGGGGGGGCCTGGAGCGGAGCGGGGGAGGGGGCCGGGGTCAAACACAGTGGCGAACCACAGGGAACCACAGGTTGGGGCAAAGTTGGTTAGCTGGGCGTGGGGGTGCAGAGAGAGTCCGGGAGGGTGAGCACACGGACCGCCACATGATAGGGGTACACATGGCGTACGACTCACCAGCGGCTTGGTATCCAGGGGCCCTAGCGCTGCCGTCACGTGCTTCAAAACTTCAGGGTCAGGGAGGGGTTGGGAAGGTGGCTTGAGTTCCGTGCCGGCAAGGCTGCTATAGTTCCTCTGCGCCAATGGAAGCCGCCATGTTTGGGGCTGGCCAACCGCTGTGCATCGCACCACAAATTTCGAGCTTGCGCTGGGGCCACAGGTTTCAATGTGATGCAGTGGACTCCATAATGCGGGGCGTAGGCTTCTTAACGTCTGTTGTGCTCCTCTCATGGCGCATCGACCAAGCGACTGGGCCATCGTGAGATTCCTGTGCTATTTATAACAAGAGGAAATAAACGACCCACAAAAATGCTTGGAAAACGTAGCGAGCAAAGGATAGAAATCGCTGAGCCCTAGCCACAAGCCATGAAAACACCCTCCGCTTCTTACGAGGAGCCCCACTTCATAGAAACCCTAGAAGTACTCTTGAATATTTGCACGTATTTGTCCAACAGAGCCGTTTATGGTGGCGTGTTTGTGCTGGTTACCGGAACGCGATGCTCCGGAGCCAACTGTTCGGCGAAATCTTGCGGCACGATCGCACCATGCTGTAAGTCGCACTTCATCGGTTACAAAGGCTAGCTTCTATATGTACAGCCAACGTTAATTCGTGGGCTGGTAACCTCCGGTAACCCCCTACTGCCGCTCATGTTCGTCCTGACCTCACCCTGACATAAAGCTGACAATATAGCTGACCAGCATTTATGCCCTTCCCCAAGCAATACCATTATCCTGCACGGCATGTGCACCGAGTGGCCAACTGCTACTCCCTGCCGCCCTTGCTGTGAGTCTGGTCTGCAGCCTGGGCCGACGTGCAAGATCCAGCATTTACACAGGTATCAGTACTTACAGACGCCCCTGGATACATGCGCGTGCTTTCGCCGCTCCTTCTCCAAAGTCGCAAAAGGCGCAAGGGGGGAAAGTACCTGACTGACGGGCAACTGGGCTCTCTTGCGAAACACAGCTGCGAGCCATTCACTTCCAGGAATGGTGGCCACCGTAAGCATTACAGCATGATCTGCCCAACATACAGGCGCCGTAGCCTGCTGCCCAGGCATCCCGTAAACATCTCCTAGAGGTCCCGTGGTGGTAGGGCCGCAGGTGCGGCATGTGGATATGCCATGTTCCCTACTTGCCTATTGCACAGACGATGTCATGGGGACTGCATTCTTAACAGCAAACATTGCATAAATGCCTTACACATTTTACCCATACATGCAAGCTGCAAGGCTAATAGCCCGCTAGCCTGCGTTGCGATATGCATCACACCGCACATACTTGTGCTTGGAAGTAGTTACAAGGTAATGGAAGACGCAGGTCAGCCAGTCAAGGGTAGAATTGGCTTGCCTATGCCGGTTGGCCCAAGGGTCTGGCAAACACGGTTCTTCAGATCTGACAGAAATACTTCCTACTATGTATACAAGCTAGCAATCTGTTTAAAATAGACTCGGGTTCAGACATCCGTCTTTGCGTTCTAATCTATCTATTTTGGGTGCCCGGTTATACGGCAGAGTTTCTTGAGAGACCCAATTCCGCAAGGAATATATCTTAAACAAATACGTGTACCTTAGTCCAAATCGCATATCTAACCGAGCTTCGACATCACCTAGCCTGAGAGAGTACCGCTAGTGCTTCGTTCTCTAATACGCTTAAGAATGACCCATATACTAATTATTAGAAGTGATCACTTTTACTAAGCGAACATGCCACATGGCTAAAGCGCTCTTTGTGCGGACCCAAGCCCAATGACATGGAAGAACTGAGCATTAGACCCGGCTTCAACCTCGATGCGGCATTCCGTGGACATCTTTCACCTGTACGCCGCATCGCATACAACGCGCACACAAGACAGTTCTTGTCCTTGGATGAGCATTGCCTCAAAGCATGGACGAAGGAGCGCGATGGCAGCACGCGGGTACACCACGACGTCCAATTCCCAAACTACCAGCCCAACTTCATCACAGCCATGGTGCTCAGCCAGGAGCTCAACATCCTGTTCGCGGCCTGCCTGGATGACAACTTGCGCATTTACAATGAGCGACTGAGGCTTAAAAGCTGCATGCCCTGGTCCAATGGTGTCGTCCGCGAGGTGGGGATGGTCCGGGGTTATGCGGAGGCGCGCTCTTTGGGCCGCACATACCTTCCCTTATCGACACAACGGGGACTCAAGCCATTCATGGCCGGGTGTGGTTCCGCCTGGCCCCTCATTTGCATGGGTGGCATGGAAACAGGGCACCCCTAACGTGCCCCCTTCACCCCCCCCCATGCAGATGTTGTACTTTGAGCGGAGGCATTTGCTGGTCACGGCGGGGTCGTACGGCGTCAAGGTACGGTACGGCGGTGCATGCGGTGGTGGAACAGGGGGGACCCTGGAGCCTCCACCTCCTCCTTGCCGTACCAGCCCATACCAGACGGCAGTACGGCATTGCTGGCGGGCCCGAGGGCTGCAGCGGGCTCTTCCTCCAACCCGCCCCTCTCTCCCACCCCTCTCTCCCGCCCCTCTCTCCCACCCCTCTCTCCCGCGCCCCCACCCTTGTCACCTAGTGCGTTGCCACTTGCTAACCCAACACCCATTGTTCTTCTGCTTACTTCCCCCCCACCCCAAACCCCCACCCCAGGTTTGGGAGTGCCTGCTGGACTACGAGGCCTTCCGTCGCGACAAGACCAGCGACCTGTACGACGTGCCCAAGGTGAAGGACGGCTCCGTGCTGCCCTGGTGCTTCGGGAAGTACCAGCACGTGCGGCTGCGGGCCACCATGCAGTGAGTGGGGGGCAGGGGTAGGGTGGGGAGGGGTGGGGTGGGGAGGAGTGGCAGGGTGGGAAGCAGGGGCAGGGTGAGGCGGCAGCCTGATGGCCTGCTGGCCATCCTCCTTGGCTGTGCACAAAGCGCAAATGCGCCGTGCATGATGTCAGTTCTTCCACCCCTACCTCCCCCTCTCCCCCCTCCTCCCCCCCCTCCGCTAGCGTCCCCGGCGCCCGATTGATGGGTGCCTCAGGGGGCGCCCTCCACGGGGGCGGTGCTGGTGGTGGTGGTGGCGGCGGGGCCGGCGGGCGGGGCAGCGGCAGCGGCAGTGCTGCCGGCAGCGACTCGGGCAGCGGTGCGGGGGGCGGTGGTGAGGGCGAGGTGGTGAATGCGCCCTGGTGCGACCGCATCAGCCTGCATGAGAAGACGGCCATGGTGCTGGCAATGTTCCAGGTAGGGGGGGGAGGGGGTGGTGGAGGGGGGGGAGGTGGAGGGGGGGTTTGGGGTTCATATGGATACGTACTCCGCATTAGGCTGGATAGTTGGGGAGGGATAGGGGGAGGGGGGCAAAAGGACTACCCACCACCCAGTGGCGCCCTCCGCCGACCTCCGACCCCTTGCATACCCCCCTGCCAATCCCCCCCCCTCCCTTCCCTCCCCCCCTCCCCCCCTCCCATGTCAGGGTCACGTGTACGGCTTCGACATCCTGACTGGCGCCTGCCTGCTGTCGTACACCGACCTGTACAGCCAGCCCGTCACCAGCTGCGTGTTCGTGCCGGAGAGCGACCTGCTGTTCACAAGTGCCATGGACACGTGCGCGGTGGTGAGGGGGGGAGGAGAGAGGGGGGGTAAAAGGGGACACATATTCCGCATTAGGGGTTGAGGGTGGGGGGGGAAGACATGAGAAGTGGGAGGAGTGGGCCTGGTGGGCTGGTGGGATGGGGGTGGATGTTGTGGAGAGCAGCGGGTGGGAAGTATGCAGTATGATGTACTAGCTCGTGTTTGGGGTGTGAAATGCGCCCGTACACCGCCCTCCTGCCCTCCTGCCTTCCGCCTGCCCTCCCCTCCCCCCAGGTATGGCGCATCCCCCGCGGCTGCGAGGCGCAGCGCTTCAAGCAGTTCGGGCGCACCTACGCGCCACTCACGCAGGTGCTGGCGGAACCCGACCTGAAGCACGTGCTCACCACCTCGCTGGATGGTGGGGCAGGGGAGGGGAGGGAGGGAGGGCGGGAGGTGGGAGGGAGGGAGGGAGGGCGCGGTATGGGGGCCTGCCCCTTGTGCCAGCCCCTTGCGATGTACCCCTGAATACCCTATCTGACAGCCCTACATGCGCAAACCCTCCTGACCGGCCCCCCGCGGCCCCGCCCCTGCTCCTCGCTCCCACCCACCCACCCATCCCCCCTTTCCGGGAGGCAGGCTCTGTGACCCTGTGGGACATGGAGACGCTCGCCCCCGTCTACAAGATGAAGCTCTCCTCCGCGCCCGTCTCCACCGCCTTCTACAAACCCAACGCATTCTTCCTGGCCACGGAAACAGAGGTAAGACTTCGCCGCCGCCGCCGCCGCAGCAGCAGCAGCAGTTACAGCAGCAGTTGCTGCCAGTGCCGACCTCCGCCTGTTGAAGCAGCCGCAAAACAGCGCCTCCTGGAAGCCAGCAAGTGTTATCCTTGATCCCAAGACCGCATACTCCGAATGGAATGCCGGCACCTGTCCCCTCTTCCCCCCTTCCTCGTGAAGCCCCGTCATACAGTTTCGTCAGCTTCCTAGTTTAACCCCCTCCCCTCCCCCCTCCCCCCCCAGGTGAAGCTCTTCACCATCACGCACCTGTTCGAGTCCTGGATGGACTGCAACAGCCCCGTCACCCACCTGCGCCACGTGTCGTACGGACTCATTCTGGCGGAGTTCGCGGACAGCAGCGTGCGGCTGGTGGGGGTGGGGGGCGGGGTGGGGGCGGGGGGGGGGGGGGGGGGGGGGGGGGGGGAGGGGTGGGGAGGGGCGGGGTGGGGAGGGGAGTGGGGGGGAGTGGGGGGGAGTGTGACACCCTGGTGAGGCAGACACCACCCAGTGTGTCGCTTCCTCCTGCCTTCCATCCAGCACCCGAGAACAGCAGCAGTCCCCGTTTTCTCCCCCCCCCCGAGGAATCGTATTTCATGTGCCATAAACGCTCTTCCCTTATCCCCTCTCCCTCCCTCTCCCCCTCCAACCTCCCTCCCCAGCTTGACGCCAGCGACGCCAGCCGCAGTGACAAGGCGGTTGTGACCACCATGCCGCAGCTGAGCAGCCAGCAGCTGGTGGCGGCTGCGGTGGCGCTCACCGCCGGCCGCCTGTTCGTGCTGCTGGCGGACGGGGCGGTGCACGTGTGGCAGCTGCACCTGCGCAGGCCGCCCTCGTTCGTGGTGGGGCGGAGGGCGGGGGCGGAGAAAGGCGGGGGGAGGGAGTGGGGGGCAGTTGCTACCTTTCTGCCTGCTGCTTTTGCCATTTGCTAGATCAACCAACCAAAGCGCCATCATGACGGGCGCAACCGCAGGCAAGCCGCACGCTCAGCCTCAGCCCCACACCACAGTACACCCCTCACGTGTGCGCACGGTCCTCGGTCCCTCTCCCCCTCATCCCCCATCCCCATTGCTTTGCCCTTTGCCCTGACCTATGGTTTGGTGTATCTCCGACCCCCCCCCCCTAACCTGTGGTCTCCTATGGTTTGGTGTATCTCCGACCCACCCACCCCCCCCCTAGTCCGCCTGGACGCACCTGGTCCGCGAGTCCTGCGTGTCCCTCGCCTTCCTGGACGGCGGTGCGCTGCCGGCGGGGGTGGGCACCCGAATGGCGCTGCCTGCCGACCCGGTGCGCGGGGTGAGCCGCGACCACCTGGCGCTGGGGACGGCGGCTGGGGACTGCATCCTGCTGGACACGACCAGGTGGGGGGGAAGGGGGGGGAGAACATACCGAACCATAGGGGGAGAGGAGGAGGGGAGGGGGGATGAAACTGGCGAGCTGTATGACGGGGCGGGGAGGGGGAGGGGACGGGAGGGGGGGTGAAAAGACCATACCAAGCCATAGGAGGAGAGGAGGAGGTGGGGTAAACGAGAAAGGACGCAACCGTCCCTCTGCCCCACCTTACACCCCACTCCCATGCACCCCCCCCACCTCCCCCACCCCCTACCTCCCCCCCCCCAGCGGCTGCATCAGCTTCCGCTTCCCCGCCTTCAAGCACCAGCCGCTGCAGCTGCTGGCTGCCGACCTGGACCGCGCGCTGCTGGTGACGGTGAGCCGCACCGTGATCAAGATCTGGAACCTGATGGACGTGAGGTGCCTGCATGAGCTGCAGACGTCACGGCCGGTGAGACGGAGGGGGGGAGGGAGGGAGGGGGGGTTTTACGGTTTTAGGGTTTTAGGGTTTTACATACCCCTCCTTCACCCGTCTTCCTTTAATCGCGATCTGAGCATTCCATGGACGGCTCAGTTGGATTACACCTCCCTCTCCCTCTCCCGCCCCCCCGCCTCCCGCAGGTCTCCCGTCTTGAGCTGCTGGAGGGTCGTGCGGTCGCCGGCACCGTGAGCGGCAGTGTGCATGTGGTGGAGCTGAGCAGCGGGGCGGCCAACGCGGCCAGCGTGACTGTAGACCACCTGGACGCGGTGACGGGGGTGGCGGCCAGCGTGGCGCTGCAGCATGTGGTGACGGGAAGCAGGGACTCGCACATAAAGGTGGGGGGGAGGGGGGAGGGGAGGGGCAGGGGAGGGGGTGGGAGCGGGAGCGGGAGGGGCTCGCGCATGAAGGTTTAGGGGGAAGAAGAAGAAACGCCAACGAGCACACATGCGGGCTTCATCATGGAGCCCATCCGGCCCCCTTCCTCCTTCCTTCTCTTCCATACCTCCGCCCCTCCGCTCCCCGCCTCCCGCCTCCCGCCCTCCCGCCTCCCCCTGCCCCCCCAGGTGTTCGACCGCGACAAGCGCTTCAAGCGCTCCATCTACATTGGCGCGCCCGTCACCGCGGTGTGCTACCTCAATGACGGGGGCGACATCCTCGCCGCCATGGGGGCCCGACTGGTGGTCATCCGGGCTGCGAAATACGACAGAGCACCCTCGGATAGGAAGGTGGGGCGTGTACGGCAGGGGGGGGAGCCATGTACGACAAGGCAGGGGGGGGGCATGAGGGACACGCGCGTTGTACGTTAGTGAAGGGGGGGGAGCAGGGGAGGGATCCCTCCAGAGTGGATGTAGCTCTCAGGCAGTGGCCTTCCGAAACCCAACTCTCCCCCCTCCCTCTTCCCCACGCAACTTCCTCCCCCCCTTCCCCCCGCCCAGGGCTCCATATATGATGAGATGCGGGGTCAGGGCCGCACCCCCCGTGCGCTGCTGCGCGCCATGCAGTCTCGCATGCAGCGACTCAGTCGCGCCAAGGTGCCGCTGGAGGCATACGCGGCGGCGGCGGCGGACGCGGGCAACCCCTCGCGCCGCCGTACACCGCCTCTGCGGCGCCAAACCACCCGCTCTAGCACCCCGAGTGCTACCCTGGATAGGCTGATACAAGGCAGTGCTGGAGGGGGAGGAGGAGGAGGAGGAGGAGGAGGGGTAGGAGGAGGAGGAGGAGGAGGGGTAGGAGGAGGAGGTCGTGTTGTCGCGGATTCATTTCGTCGGCCAGGGTCCCGGGGTACTGACGAGTACGGCGGTCTGGGTGCCGGCGTCGGTGGTAGTGTTACGTCGAGTGGCATGGGGCCGGTGGGGGGGGGAGGCAGTGGAGCGGAGGCGGGGGGTGGCAGCAGGCCGCGGTCGCGGCAGGGGCCCCTGGAGTACGGCGGTGGAGGTGGAGGTGGCGGTACGGCGGTTGCTATACCTGCGGATCCCCGTTTACAGGTGGGTGGGGGGGGGGGGTGGGACTTCGAGAAGGGCCTCTCCGCAAGCGCGCGCAGGCGTCAATTGGGAGCGGGAGCTTGCCCTCCCCTCGTCCCTCCGCCTCTCCCTCTCCCCTTGCTGCCGAACTGGCCCATACACGTTCACAGCGTTTCCGCATGTCCTGCCACACTCGCCACCCGCCCCCGTCCCTCCTCTGCACAGGCCCTGCAGCAGCAGCTGGGCTCCCTCTCGCGCCCCACCACCCGTGAGAGCGGCTCACGAGGGGGAGCCCGCTCGGTGCAGTGGCACGGAGGGGGGCCGGCTGGGGAGCAGGCGCAGCAGGCGCAGGCGCATGGAGGAGGGCTGGGGAGGGCGCAGTCAGCGGAAGAAGGTGGGCAGCAAGGGGCGAGCTGGGCGGGGCGGGGCATGGGAGGGAGGCGGGGGGCCTTGCATGGGCCTTGTGGGCGACATGTGACTCTTGGCGCCAAGTCACAGGCGACGGACCCTATCCTGTTCTACCCCACTCCGCCGCTGTCCCTCCCCCCCCCGCAGGTTCCCGGCCCAATCCCGCAACCTCCGCCGCCGGCACGACGACGTCTACTGGGAGACCTGGGTCCGACCCGCCAGGGCCCAAGACCTCCGGTGCTGCTGCTGCCACCGCCACCACCGCCACCGCCACCACCACCCCAGCAGCCGTGTCCTCTCCTCGCGGCTCCGCCTCCACCTCCACCACCCACCCCAGCGTGGGAGCTCCCTCCACCTGGCCCTTCGCCAGCAGCAGCACCACCAGCACCAGCACCAGCACCAGCAACCCGCCTGCCGCCACAACCTCGACCTCAGGTGCCCCCAGCGCCTCCACTGCCACCTCAGTCCCAGCAGCTGCTGCTGCTGCTACTGCTACTGCTGCTGCTACTGCTGCCGGCGGCAGGAGCCACCCCCACCAGACTTCTACTGGCAGCGCAGCAGCAGCAGCGGGCGGCAGCAGCAGCATCGGCAGCCCGGAGCGGCGGCAGCCCTCGGGAACAGCAGCAGCAGCAGGGGCGGGGCCGGGGTCAGCTGCGGCATCGGGGCGGGCTAGCGTCAGCGGTGGTGTGGGTGCGGGTGTGTTTGATTTGAATGCGGAGTTGGCGGGGGCAAAGTCGGAGGATGAGGACGAGGGGCATGTGATCGCCAAGGAGATGTACCCCTTCGTATACAGCTACAATCTGCACCGGGAGAAGGTGAGGGGGTGGGGGGTTGCAGGCAGCGTGCGGGAAGGGGGCATGTGGCTGAAGGGGAAGGGTAGGTGGGTGCATGGCGGGGGTGCGTGCGGGCGGAGTTGTGGGCAGCACACCAGCAGGAAGAGGCACAGGAAGGTTACTAACCCCTCCCCTCCTTCCTTCCTCCTCTTCCTCCTCTTCCTTCCCCTCCTCCTTCCTCCTCTCCTTCCTCCTCTCCTTCCCCCTCTCCTTCCTCCTCTCCCTCCTCCTCGCCTCCCGCCCCCCCCCAGATGCGCATCGACCGGCTGCTCCACGGATTGCCCAGCGTGCACGCCGCCAAGCGAGGCAGCCTGCTGGCGCCCACTGAGCCCGTGCCGCTGCGCCCCTCCTCTCGGGGGCAGGCGGGCGGCAGCAGGGGCAGCAGGGGCAGCGCCGGCTCGCTGCGGCTCACCAGCCTACAGCAGCAGCAGCAGCAGCAGGCGGGGTTGCTGGCTGGGCCGGGACAGCAGGGACAGGGGCAGCAGGGGCTGCAGGGGCAGATGGGGGGTGGGGCTGCGGGGGGCATGGGATGGGAGGGGGGTGCTGGAGGAGGGGGAGGAGCAGGTGGAAGGGCAGAGGAGGAAGAAGAGGAGGAAGAGGGGCAGAGCGGCGAGGGCGAGTCGAGCCGAGATGACGTTTCTTGCAGGTAAGCCACCTGCTTGTGTGCCTGCCTGCTTACCTACCTGCGTGCTTGCATGGTATATCCATGCTGGCGGATCGGGGTTGCCACCTGTACTGCGTTCCCCTCCACCACCTCCTCCACCTCACCCACCTCCCTTCCCAACTCCTACCGGCATGCCCCACCCTGCCGGCCTCATCATCGCCTCTCCTCCTGCCCTCCTCCTGCCCTCCCGCAGCTCGGACGCGCACTCCGGCGTTTCCTCAGAGCCCGACGCGCCCTCCCACGCCGCCGGCCTGTCCGCCGCCTTCCGACGCACCCTCCCTGTCATCGCCTCCCCCTCCGCCTTCTTTGACGGCTACCCACCCCCCGAGGCACTGCCGCGCACCAAGAAAGGCGGCGGAGGGGGCGGCAAGAAGAAGCGGAAGGAGGAGGGGGTGACTGCTGCGGCCGGAGCTGCAGCAGCAGAGGGCTCGGCTGGGGCAGGGGAAGCAGGTGCTGCGGCTGGTGCGGGCGCGGAAGGTGAAGCGGCACGGAAGGCTGCAGCGGCGGCGGCGGCAGCAGCGGCGAAGAAGAAAAAGAAGAAGCGGCGGCGGCGGCGAGCGCGCGCGAACACCGACCCCGTTGACCAATTGAAAAGTAGGCGGGGGCGGGGACAAAATTAAATAAGTGAAACGACGAGTCCGAGGGGGCGGGGACGGGCAGCATAGGGCACCGTAGTCAGGGGCTGTGGAGAGGAGCGGCCCTGGGGAGAGGTACATGGTACTTAAGCGCTCGGGGGGGGGGGCACTGCTCTCGCGCGCATGCACGACTCTCGGCCAGTTTTCGTAGTACATGCATGATGCATCCACTTGGCGCCCAGCGGGGCATGCGAGGTGCTCTTCCTCCTCTCCTAACCCTTCCTCCGCTTCCTTCTCTCCCAACTCTTCCTCCTCTTTAACTCCTTCCCCTCCTCCCCCAGGCCGGCTTGACTACGAGATCCGAGCCGAGGTGAAGGCCTACGAGAAGCACCTCAACGTGCAGCGCCTGGCCACCGCCACCTTCCTGCCACGACTGGGCCCAGGGGGGTCCGGAGCAGCAGCAGCAGGCGGAGGTCGCACGGCGCCCGCTATCTCCCATGCGCCGCCGTCCTTCAGCATCGCGCTGTCGGCATCTACTGCTGCTGCTGCTGCTGCGGCGGCGGCGGCGGCGGCGGCGAGTGCAGCCGGAGGGACGAGCCCGGGATCCCCCGCCGGCGGCGGTGCCACGATAGCTGCGGAGCCCTCCGGGCACAGCACACACAGCTTTGGCAGTAGTCATGCGAACACCGCCGCTGCCGCCGCTGCGGTTGCTGACGCGGCCTCCTCGCCAGTTGCTACACCCAACACCGCCACCACCGCCACCGCCACCGCCCCCACCGCTAGCTGCTCTGCCAGCATGCGTACCAGGAGCGGCGGCGGTGGTGGCGGCGGCGGAGGCGGAGGCGGACCGCCCATGTCCATCAAGGCGATGATGCGGAGTCTGGGTGTGCGAGGCAACGTGGCGGACATTGCGCGCATGATCGAGGACCCCAACAGCTTCATCGTGGCGCAGGAGCAGCGGGTAGAGGAGGGGGCGGGGGGGCTGGAGGCGGGAGGGGGAGGCGGAGGCGGGGGCAGCTTGAGGCCCAAGTCATCTCGGGCTGGCAGGAGTGGGACGACGGGGACGGGGGAGGGGTCGCCTCGGAGGACGGGGCTGGGGGGCACGGGGCATGCGGGGATGCTGGCGGTGATGAGGGTTAGGCATTAGGAGGAGGAGGGAGGGAGGGGGAAGGAAGAAGGAGGAGGGAGGGGTCCTGGTAGGTCCTTGAGGGCGCGGGGGCTGTTTGCCACATGGTGATCTACCTGGGTGTCTGGAAGACGTGTTGGCTAACTGGATTCGGTAAGAAACTTGACCGCAGTCGTGTATGGTACGTATTTATGTACGGGCTTGCAACTAGCATGCGCAAATAGAGGGATTTGCGCATGTGTTCAGAAGAACCGGCCGCGCAGATGTGTGCGTGGCGCGTGCGTTTATATACTGACGAGGAACTTCGACTTTTCTAACCACATGTGGCCTAAACTGGTGGAGAACCGCCGGAGAACTGGTGACGGATTCTGCATACGTGGGCATAGCGACGTGCATTGGGCAAGCGGGGTCAATACATAGCCCACGGACGAAGCACCGTGTTTGCGATTGCCGTACAACCTTACGGGCGGGCCGTACATCATGGGGGAGGAGAGTAGGATACCCCGGAAATGGCGGCTGCTGTTGACATGTGACGACACTGATGACATGATCAACTGATTGCAGTTTGGAAGGGCGTCGAGGCCGTGCATGTGTATTGCGGCTCGGCAGCAACCCCTCTGCGATAGACGTCATGTCAGCAGCAATAACGTGATTCGGTGTAGCAGTTGGTTACCGTACGTAAGGTGCCGCCCAGTGCTTTGACAATCCTTGTAAGTCAGCAGGCCTTCACGGTAGTAACAAACGGTTACCTGGTCTAGTACGCGTGGGACGCGTTGTTTACGGCAACTAAAAGGATGAGGAGTAGGTCATTGCCGTGGCAGGTGGTGGGCGGCTAAAAAAGTGGTTAGGGAGCGGGCCACAGCTGCTGTTACTGTAGCGTTAAAGCGATGTTGGCAGCCCGGACGTGGGCTGTGCGCTTTACGACAGGCGGATCTGTGGGCCTTGGGATACTTGGGCGGTTTCGGAGCTGTCTTAATCTCCTTGAGAGGGCAGCTGTAGCTCGCTAGAAGGGGTGCCGTACCCCGGTCGGGCTGCTCCCTTTGTAAATACCGGTATGGCCAGGTATGGCACTTGTTAATTTGATAATGGATATTGGGTAGGGCTGTGAGCATGCTTTATACCTGGTGAACAAACATTGGGTCACTTGCAGCTTGTTATTAGCAAGCACAAGCGGCGGTGCCACAGCTCTCCCGAAATGCAATTGACGGGCTTCCCTCTAGGTCAACAAGAGGGTGTGCCGCAGAAGCTAGTTAAGTCTTCTGTCGGCGCGTGCCGATTGGACCAATGCCTGATGCTCATGGATACTCGGGCATTTGTCCGCAAGGAGATGCGTAGATCCCATGCGCCTTGCCGTACTCTTGTGCCGTACCACGGCCTGCAGGAGACTTTATCAACTTAATACGTCTTCAGGGCTTGTTGCGCAGCACAGCATGGTAAGTGTAACGTTGCAAGTACGGTAACAGTTCAAAGACTTGCAGCCACTCAGCAGCCACATGTGGCCCTGACCAGCCCCATGGGTCGTCAACTTCTTGGCAAGGTTTATCGCACGTTGAATGCCAGAATATGTGCGACTAGATCACAATGTGTTGCAAGCGTTGCAAGCGCCAGTATTGATTGGGTAAATGGCCAACCATCTAGAACTGCCAGTCGACAGCCATGAACCAAAACTTTCGGTTGCTGCTTTCCTCCACAAACAATTAGCACGAAAGTTATACAATATAATATCGTTTTCTCATGAAGGGTCATACGTCGAGTTAAAGAGAATTCTGGTACAGGTAGCAGCGTGTGGACTAGACGACGCGAAGGAGCCCGGAGTTGGACTAGGCCTTTGTTCCTAGGCTTTAAACATGGCAGCTAAAAATGTAACATCCTAGGCTTCTGGAAGGGCTGCTGTGCCCCGCAAGGCGCTCTTTGTCATTCGCTTTTGGAGGAATGCCCTAGGACAACGTGGACGAGCCCCAGGCGCGATGTCCGTCACAACTCATGTTACTGACGATGATACAGGACTTGGAGGAGGGCAAAGGGCGGTGCTACCGCTGGGGCTGTCACCTGACGACGTCAACTGCCCAATTTGTGTGGAGACCATATCCGACCCCTTTGTCACGTCATGCGGACATACGTTTTGCTACCAGTGCATACTTACGCATCTGAAGCACAAAAACAGCTGCCCATCATGCGGCAATTATTTGACAGCCGACAACATCTACCCAAACTTCTTGCTGAACAAAGTAAGGAATCCGCTGTAACGATGCGCGCACAAGCATAGCTCTGGCTGATTAAGGTCGCTTACCTACAACTGTTGCGGCTCGGCGTATTTGACCTTGAACGTCAGCGACAGCTACCATGACGGTTAACCCATGCCCAAGCTCCCACCACGCTTACTGTCCCCGTTTTCACTCCTGCCCCGACCTTAACCCCCTTTCAAACCCCTTTCCAGATCCTCCGCAAAGCCGCGGCTGTGCCCGCTGCCAACAACAGCTCGCTGGTGGACCAGGTGCAGCGGCTGCTAGCAGACAACATGGTAGCCGCGGACACCGCCGCGCCGCATCCCGCCAACTTCACCCAAAGCCCAGAGGCGCACCTCGCCTCGTCCCCAACCGCAGCAGCCACGGTGGCGATGCCGCTGGGAGGAGCTGCCTGCGGCGGGAGTGGCGGCAGCGGCCCTTGCAGCGGCGGTGCCGCAGGCGGCGGCAAGTGCTGCGGTCGCGGCGGTGGCGGCGGCGGTAGGGGTGCCTGCTGCGGCGGCCGTGGCGGTGGTGGCGGCTGCTGTGGCGGGCGGAAGCGCTTGCGGCTGCGGTTGCGCGACATAGATGCCGTACTGGAGGCGTTATACGACGCTCGGGAGGAGCTGGAGAGGCGCGAGTCGTCCGATGTGTTGCACTTGCTGCTGTGCTTCCTGCAGCATGCTAGGTGCGTGTCATTACATACGGTAGTACATCATAAGACACCGTTGTGGGGTACGTGGCCTTCCCTGCCTGCACTCAACTACCGCGCGACCCTCCCCCCGTTGCTACTGCCCGCTACCGCCGCAGGGAGCACAAGGCCCGGCAGGTGGCGGAGCTGCACCAGCAGCTGGCCTGCCTGGACCTCGACATCCTCACCGTCACCTCGTCAGCAGCAGAAGTGGGGGCAGCGGGGGCTGCAGCAGGAGCGGCAGCACTAGCGCTCGCCTTACCCGCCGCGACCTTACCCGCCTTACCCGCAGCCAGTGAAGGCGGCCATGCAGCCGCTGCTGCGGAGGGCGGGTGCGGTGATGCAGCTGCTTCTCCACCCGCCACCGCAGCAGCAACTCCATCCCATTACCACCTAGCGCAGCCGCAGCCGCCGCAGCAGCAACAGCCTGATGCAGCAGCCGCCAGTCCACTCCCAGCTGCCGGCTACCCACACTCCACCGCCTCTGCAGCAGCCGCCAGTCCCAGCTCGCTGCTTCCTCCCGGCCTGCAACCCCCTGTGCTGCACCCCCCTCCTCCTCCTCCGCAGCCGCCGCTACAGCAGCAGCACCACCCTCTACCACCCCAGGCGGAACCAAAGCAGCAGCTCCAACCAGAGGACGAGCTGCAGGGCCCACAGACGGGCCCACAGGACCGCCCTCCCGCCCCAGACCAGGAGGACCCCCGGGCTCAGGGTCAGGCCCAAGCACAGAGCCGCGCCGTGCCGCACCACCACCCCGCCACCTGGCTGCGCCGAGCCCACCCCCACCTGCGTCCTGAAACGCAACCACCATTACAACAACAACAACCACCACCACAACAACAACCCGGTGAGCGCTCCAGGTGCCGACCAGAGCGGGCTGGCGCAGGCGGCGGCGGTGGTGGTGGTGGTGACGGAGAAGCGCGCGGCAGCGGCGGCGGTGGCGGCGGCGGGTGCTGCGGCGGCCGTGGCGGCTGCGGAGGAGGAGGTGGTGGTGGTGGTGGTGGTGGTGGCTGCTGCAGAGGCGTCGGCGCCTCGGGGTCGTGTTCGGGAGGTTGCCGGGGTAGCCTGGAATTGGAGTTAGCACTGGACCTAGGCAGCCATGACAGGTCTGCAACAGGCCGTTCTGGGGACGGCCTGCTGCTGGGGTTTGCGGGCGGCGGCAAGGAAGAAGAAAAGGAGGACGGCGGTGCGGGTACGGGGACGGGGCGGAGTGCTCCCAACCTGACAACGGCAGCAGCGGCAGCAGCAGTCGGGCCCCAGACCGCTGCTGCTGCTGCTGCCCCCCCGCGGCCGCTCCGCCGACCTCCCCTCCGTCACGGCAGCTGGCAGCTGCACACCCTCACCCCCGAGGGCGGCATCAGTAGCATCACCCTAGACACCAGCGTCCTCACGGAGCCCGAACAGCGCGCAGCGGCGTTTGCGGCCGCCGTGCAACACGCTCTGGCGGCGGCGCGTGCCGGTGTTGGCGGGTTGGGCATGAGCGGCAGCGGCAGTGCAGGCAGCGGCGGTGGGGGAGGAGGTGGGGGTCGTCCTCGGGTGGCGGTGTGTGAGGAGGAGGAGCGGCCGCTAGGTAACTCCTCAGCGGCTGCTGCTGCTTGCGGTAGCGGTAGCGGTAGCGACGTTCTGGGTGGGACAGGCGGCGGCAGGGGCTTCATGCCGCGGTGTGGCAGCGCGGATAACTTTCAGCTCCTTTCGACAGGAGCTGCAGGTCAGGCGGAGGCCGCCGCTGCCGCTGCCCCCGCGCCTGCCCCCGCCTTCACCGCCGGTTCCCTGCCGTCAGCCGCATCGTGCGGAAGCAGCGGCAGCGGCGAGGAGGGCGGCAGCGCGCTGAGCGGTGCCGCAGCGGGCTGCTGCTGCGGCTCTGAACAGCCGCGGGGCTTGGGAGCGGCAGCAGCAGCGGTGGTAGCAGGAGCAGGTGGAGGGGCAGGCGGGAGGGGCGGCACGGCGGGGGAGGACAACATGGTGGTGGACGAGGGCAGCGTGGGTGCAGGTGGCAGTGCTGGCAGCAGGGCGAGGTGTCCGGGTAGAGAAGAGGAGCAGGAGGAGGAGGAGGACGAGATGAATGTCCGAGAGCGGCGCCGCGGCAGGGGCTTTCCCCGCTGTCGAGGGGGCCGTCGCAGTGAGGGAGAAGACCGCGAAGGTGCCTCCTACCGGCAGCAGCACCACCACCAGCAGCAGCTCCAGGGGCGGCCTTCGCTGCCGCATGCGCCACCGCAACGGGCGGATGGGGGCCAGGGCGGCGGGGGTGGGGGCGAGGGCCGCCCCGGCGAACGCGACGATGACGACCCCGCGGCCATTCAGGCGGCCAAGCGGCGGCGCATGCTGTCGCAGTTTGAGGCGCTGGAGCGGTGCTACCTGCAGATGCGAGCAAAGAGGTGGGGGGGAGGGCGGGGAGGGGGGGGCTGCGGAGAGGATGGTGGGGAGGATAGGCGGGAGGTGGATAGATGATGGGGGGGTGTTTTAGCTGACCAATGGAAGGTGTGGGGTTGCAACCAGTTGCATGTGCCCTCTCGGGCTGTGTACCGGGCTGCGGGTGCCGACACCATACGACTCCATGCGGGCCCCTAGCGCAGACGTGACCGCCACCGCTGCCCTGCTATCCTGCCTGCTACACTGCAGGGTATCGCTGACAGGGTCCGCGCTTCCGCCGCCCGGCCTCGACCCCTCCGCCCTCGTTGCCTCCTCCGCGGCTGCGGCGCCGCCGCCGGCGTCGCTGAACCCCTGTCTGGGCCCCGCCGCCGCCGCCGCTGGCTCCTTGCCGTACGGCAACACAGCCGGGCGGCCCCTTGACGGCGGTGGCCCCGGGGCTCCAGAGCTCCCCCCTGACGCCGCCGCCGCTGCTGCTGCCGCTACCGCTATTGGCGCTGAGGGGCGACTCTCCTGGCCTGCTGGCGGCGGCGGCGGCGGTGTTGCCGCTCCTTTTGGTAGCGGCAGCAGCGGTGCGCCGATCGCAGCAGCAGCTGCCGGCGGCTGCTGTGGTAACGGCGGCGGCGGCGGTGATGCGGAGCTGTCTTCCTTTGGTGCCGTACTCGCCGCCGCCACGCGCTACAGCCGACTGGAGATGCTGGCGGAGATACCCAGGTATGGTTCCGGGGGCGGTGGGGAAGCAGCCGGCGGCGGTGGTGGCGGCGGCGGCTTTGGTGCAGGGCAGGCGGCGGCGGCGGCGGCGGCAGCGCCCGCCACGTCTAGAGGCAGCGGCGGTGGAGGCGGTGGACTTCAGATCTTGTCAAGCATTGAGTTCGACCTTTCAGACGACTTGTTCGCTACGGCGGGTGTCGTACCGCGAATCCTGGTGTACGACTACCAGGTAGGGGTGTGTGGGGGGGGGAGAGGGAAGAGGGGAGGTTAGTAGGGAACACAAACTTCGCATTGGGCTTTTTAGTAGGGTTAGCGTATAGTTGTTGTTATTATACAGGTGGGAAGTTGGGAGCGCTGCCGCTCCTCACGCGTGGGTCATGTGCCGCATGTCCTCATGATGCTGCTGCCCCCGCCCCACACAAAGACCCGTACTGGGACGGTATGTCCCAGCACCTCACCAGTACTGCTGGCGATGTATACCAGACCTTCTTGCCACCTCCTCTCTGTTGCCACCTCTTGCCTCACACCTCCCCCCCCCCCAACCTCCACACCCGCCCCTCCCCCCTCCCCCAGTCTCTGCTGTCCCGGCCTCCCGCCCCCTGCCGCCCCGCCCGCCCGGTTCGCGAGCTGTCCGCCCGCTGCAAGCTGTCCTGCCTGAGCTACTCGGCGGGGGTGCGGCAGCAGCTGCTGGCTGCGGACTACATGGTGGGAGGGGAAGGGGAGGGGAGGGGAGGGATCAGATGTTAATCAAAACCACAGGTTAGGGCAAAGCAAGGGGGGTAGATTGAATCAGTTTGTCAGGTGGTGGTGCGACATGACGTCCGCCGCTGCCGGGGTATACAGCGGCCCTCCTACTGCGGTAACCCTCCCCACCTCCTCGTCTCTCCCTTTCACCCCCTCCCCCGCGCCCCCCCCCTTGCCGCAGGGCGGTGTGGGGCTGTGGGACACGGAGGCTGGCGTGCTGGTGAGAGGGGTGGGCGGGTAATGACCCTTCAAAGGGACGACTTAACGGGTGTGGCCCGTGTGCCGGATACTTGCCTCAGCGCCGCTGCGCTCTTTCACTATAAACAACAGCTTTTCCCACGCATGATAGCCTTCCGTTGCCCCCGTATTCATCTCCACCCCCCTACACCCCCCAGGTTCAGGACTACGAGGCTCACGAGCGACGGGTGTGGGGTGTGGACTTCTCGCCCGCCTGCCACCACACCTTTGCCAGTGGCAGCGACGACGGACTTGTAAAGGTGGGGGGTTTGAGGGGGGGGGCATGTCGGAGGGTGTGTGTGTGTGGCACAGCCTTTCCTGTTCTGGGGTCTGGTCGGTGAATGTACCCCGGGGATAAGCCCCCCCCCCCGGGCTGCACCTCCTGTTGTAGGCGCCCTGTCTTCCATCTCTGCTGCACACGTGCAAAAGCTCAGCTCATAGCTCCTCGCCTTGATGTCCCCCCCCCCATGCACCCCCTCCCCCCCCCCAGATCTGGAGCACCCGCCAGCCCGGCAGCTGCCTGGCGCTGGAGCTGCGCGGCAACGTGTGCGGGGTGGAGTGGCACCCCACCTGCCCCCACCTGCTGGCGGTGGGCTCCGCGCTGCACTGCGCGGCGGTGTACGACATACGGCGACCCGGGGCGCCGCTGCACACGCTGCTGGTGAGGGGGGGGGGCGGCGGGTAGTGTGTCAACAAAACTGGCCGCGAGTCGGAACGCACTGTGATTGCCGGAAGATGAAGTCCGGGGGGTGCTCAGGTGGGGGTATGTGGCCCTTATGAGCTCCGGGTTTGGGGCAAAGGTGGCGGAGCTATTTGCGGGTTTACTAGCGCCACCAGTGTGCAGTACTAGGTGTGTGTGTGCCGGTGTGTGAGCAACGAAGGGCTTAGCTGGTGTCGCGGCATCGTGTTACCCCTCATAGCCTGCCCCCCCTGCATGAGTCGGGATATGGGATTGGGATTCGTTGTTTCACTTATTTTTATTTTTTGCCCCTCCTGCCTTCCATCTTCCCTGCACGACCCACCTTACCCCCCCCCCGCCCCCCCCCAGGGCCACCGCAAGGCCGTCTCCTACGTGCGCTGGTGCCCCGGCGGCAGCGAGCTGGTGACCGCATCCACCGACAGCACCCTCAAGCTCTGGTCCCTCTCACCGCCCCCCGCCTCCTCCTCCTGCCCCTCCTCTTGCTCCCCCTCCGCCGCCGCCACTGTCGCCCACGAGGCCCTCCGCGGCGCCCGCCTGCTGCGCACCTTCAGCGGCCACCTCAACGAACGCAACTTTGTGGGGCTGTGCGTCTCCTCACCGCCATCCTCCTCCGCCTCCTCCTCCTCCGCCGCCGCCGCCTGCTTGCCTCCGTCACCAGATCAACACCGCGACGATGCGGATGACATGCGACCAGCCTCCCCCCGCTGGGCCAGCAACGGCAGCCGTGGTGGTGGTGGTGGTGCTGCTGCTGCTGCCGCCCCTCCCCCCTGCTGCGGCGAGTACATTGCGACGGGCAGTGAGCGGCACGAGGTGGTGCTGTACCACCGCTCGCTGCCGCAACCCGCAATGCGGCTGGCGCTGGATGGAAGGTGGGGTGGGGGGAAGAGGAGGGTGTGAGATTGGGGAAGGGGTGGGGTGTGTGCCGGTGGGGTGCTGCAAGAGAGGGCTGCGGGGGAGGAGGGGTCCATGGTAGCCCCCCATGGTAGCTGGTATGGCGCCGGTACGAGGTGTGGACATGCATGTTTGCCCCGCTCTCCTTTGCCCCTTGGCCTGCACTTGTCCCTACCCGCCTCCCCCTGCTCCTCCCCTTGCTCCTCCTCCTCCTCCTGCTCCTCCCCTTGCTCTGGCTGACTTCCCTTGCTGCCTCACTTGCTGCCCTGCCGGCCCCGCCTCCTCACAGACTGCCCGAATCCGAGCGAGCCGGCGCTGCAGGCGCCTCCTCCTCCTCCACCCTGCTCGGGCCCCGCCCCCACCACCCCCCCGCCGCCGCCGCCCCCTCGCCCCCGCCCCCGGGTCACCACTTCGTCACCGCGCTGCAGTGGCGGCCGGGCAGTCCGCACCTGCTGGCCGCCAACAGCGCGGGGTTCGTGTGGCTGCTGGGACTGAGGCTGTGAGGGAGGTGGGGTCAGGGAGGGAGGTGGAGGGGGGGTAGAGGGGGATAGAAATAAGTAAACTAGGAAGGGACGTGGAGAAGGCGTATGAGGCGGAGGGTAGGGTAAAGAGGAGACGGGGAGAGGGAGGGAGGGCGCGCAGGAAGGGAGGGAGGGATGGGCTGTCGCGCGAGAGCCGCGGGGAGTGACGGCGGGTAGAGGACCGCAGGGTAGGCGAGGTGGTGGCTGCACTAGCTGCAATGTGAGAGACGTGGCGTGTGCCGTACACGGTAGCATGGTGCCGAGGGGAGGTAGGTAGGAGGAGCGGGGTGTGCCTGTCTGCCTGTCTGTGCGCCTCCTTGCAAATCAACCCAATCCGCAGTACGGATACGATGGAGAACCCAACCCGGTGTGTGCCTGTGTTGAGCGATCTGCTGCTGCGAGTTGGGGGACGAGCGAGTTACTGCATGCGGAGAAGAGCTAACGAAGTGTTATAAGTTGTAAAATGTTTAGCGCGGGGATGGAAGTGTAGCTAGGAGGGAGGGTGAAGCTGCGGTCCTTACTTAGCTGGTAACCGGTGCTAGGTGGGATGACAGTGCTGAGCTGGCAGCTGCTGCTGCTGTTGTAGCGCCGAGAGGTGTCTACAGGTGTAGTGATGAGAGGGGCGCTGGAGGGGGAGGCTGGGTATGCGGCGATCCTTACCGTTACCGTTTGCAACTCACTCTTGTGTAGTACCGCCGTGTGAAGCAAAGAGCCAGGGTGAGCGAATGCTGCCGAATCACATTGGCCTACTAGCAGGGTTGTAATGCACTTTGCGGTTGGCAGCGGTTAGCAACATGATATATGCTTCAACGAGCAGGCGGTTGCAGCAGGGGGATGCTGATGTGGGTGGCAGCACGTGTTGATAGTGAAGCTTGGACCTCCACTGATGGAGGCATTCGGGAGCTTGCGGCACGTACGGGAGTTGCTGCCCCCGCTGTCCCCTTCCTCCTGCAAACAGCCGCTCCTGCCTGTCTTCTCACCGTTGCTGCCCTGGACGGTGCTTGAGGGCCACCTGACCACCTGCACCCCTGCCGGCTCCTTCCCGCACACACACAGCTGCTCTCTCGGCTGCTAGGGCTGGGGCTCGTGCATGCCTGGAAGAGACAGCACTTGATGATGGGGGTTGCATGCGGCGACTTGGCCCTACTCCACCTACACCTTGCCTCTGTGACACCCACCTACGAGCTCATGTCTGCATATCTGCCTGCCTAACTGCCTGCCTGCCTACCTGTCTACCTGCCTGCCTCTTCACCTATCGCTTAGCGGCGCCTGTCTGCCGCCTACCTCAGTCCTGGCATCTCATGCTCGTACAACAGCTTGCAACACCCCCCCCCCCCGCCACGTCCCGCAGCTCCCCGCCGGCCCCCCGCGCAACCCGGGCCGCACACGCGGGACAGCGCAGAGCACCCGCATGCACACATACGCACGTTCTTTAACACACACGCGCAGACACAGAAAGGCAAGATCCTGCCCTCCTCGCTAGATCCAGTCCCCCTCCTGCAGCTTGAGCGGCAGGTAGACCTGCGTGAGGTACTGGAAGCCGAAGGAGGAGAGCGCCTGGATCTCCGCCTTCACGCGGCTGGCCAGCATCAGCTCCAGCTCGCGAACCCAGTCGGGGTTGGAGCGGATAAAGTCCTCCTCCAGCTGGGGTGGGAGGGGGGTGGGAGGGGGAAAATTATATAAGAAATGCAAACAACTAGAGTCCCAATCCCATATCCCGACTCATGCAGAGAGTGCATTCGGGGGGGGCGGGGGGAGAGGTAAGCGGATAGAGGAGGGAAGGAGTGATGTTGGGGAGTGATGAAACGTGCGGCTGAGAGCCTCCTCCCACCCCCCCAGCATGGGCGGGTCGCGCTGGCCACATGTTGCAAACCATGATGACGCCTTATCACACGGTTCGTTGGTCGTTTCCCCTTTACCCAGCAGGAGATACCGGCATCTACCGTAACCCCCCTCCCCCCTCCCCCCCCCCACCAGCCTCCTGCCCGTCTTGATGTCCTCCTCCGTCATGGGCAGGCGGCACTGCTGCGGGATGTCGAAGCGGTCCAGGTCGGAGGGGCGCACGCCCAGCCACTTGATGTCGGGGGTGGTCAGGTTGGAGGAGTCGTACGACATGTTCATGGAACCCTGGGCGTGTGCGTGTGTGTATTTGGGGCGGGGGGCGGGGGGGGATTATACAATAAATGCAAACAATTAGAATCCCAATCCCATATCCCGACTCATGCAGTGAGTGCATTCGGGGGGGGGAGGGCGGGGGAGGGGTGAGGGTAAGGAGGCATGGTCAACAAACAGAGAGGTAAAGCGGACGACGAGGAAAAAGACTCTACTCCTGACACACAGACATCAGGCAGATAGACGGATGGACGGACGAGGCTCGAGTGGCTGGAGCTACTGGTAGGCCCGTGCGGGTGTGGGTGTGTTAAAATAACTGGCCGCGAGGTGTGTGGGTGTGTATGTGTATGTGTCGTACCCCCCCCATCCCCCCCACCTTCATGTACACGGACAGGATCTTGAGGCCGTACGGATCTGAATCCACGAGCGCCAGCACCGGGATCTTGAGAGTGCTCTTGAGCCGCTTCAGGAACAGCCTGCGCGTGGGAAGGGGATGCGTGCAGGGATGTGTGGGTGTGTAGCGGGGGATGTGTTTAGAAACACCATGTACGGAAACATGGGGCCTTGCGCCAGCGGGGCTCCAGTGGGGGTAACGCGGCCCGCATGCGCCCCACAGTGACCCTGCAATACACCTCCCTGCACGCCCGCCCCCACCCCACCCCCCTGCCTTGCCTGGTTGCCACGTCCGGCTGCCCCTTGGCTGTGAGGATGATGCAGGGGTAGGTGTTGTAGAAGCGGTCCTCCGCCAGTCGCATGAAGGCCGCGTCCTTCTCCACGAGCAGGATGAAGGCGGCGTCGGAGGAAATGTCGGACACCTGGGGGGGAGGGGGGGGAGGGGGACGCATGAGTGCATGCCCGGGGGTTGAGGACAAGGGGTTACCACCCCTCCACACGCACACGCCCTTGCCCCCTCTTGCACCACCCCTGCCTCTACTTTACTCCGCGCTCTCGCCCGCCCGCCAACACCCCTTCCTAACCCCCAGCCCCCCCCCCAACCCGGCCCCCCCCACCTTGTCGATGTTGGGCGGTATTGCCTTGCCCCCCACCCCCATGCGCTGGCAGTCGATGAAGTCCCCGTCCTCGCGGAACGACAGCCGCCCCACCACCACCCCCTTCTCGGAGGCCACCACTGCGCAATGCCGGGGGGTCAAAGGCCATACCAAACCATAGGAAACCACAGGTTAGGGCAAGACAATGCGGGGGGAGGGATTGGGTAAGCACGGAGGAGAGGCGAGAGACAGGGTACCCATGCTGTGTTTTGCTGCCAAGCTGTCCCCCCCATCCCCCCCCACCCCACCCTACCCCCCCCCCCACACCATTGAGGCTGGATCGGGTGCATCCCAGCATGCATGCCAGGTCGTCCAGGATGGCGTCCGACTGGCCTTGGTCCTGAGGGGGGGAGGGAGGGGGGGGGGTGAGGGGAGGGAGGAGGAGGGGGAGGGGAGGGAGGGAAGCATTCAGACATGCAGCAGCAGCAGCAGCGGCACTCGCTCGCCCATCACCTCCTCCACTCCTCTCCTCAATCAGCCTGAGTAACAACAGCTTCTTTTCCCCAACACCCACCTCCCTCGCCCCCGATACCACAGCACGGTCCACCTAGTCTCTGCCCCCTCGCCTGCCCACCCCGCCACCCCCCCCTGCCAACTCCTACCCCCATTGCTTGGCCCTAAAATGTGGTCTCCTATGGTTTGGTATGGTCTTAGACCCCCCTCCCGCACCTCGAACAGCTTCACATCGGTGTAGAAGAGGTCTCGCTTGGTGACATGGATGCGCTTGCCCACCAGCTCGTGAACCAGGCCCAGGATGCGGGAGGTGATGGCGGCCTTCCTGGGGGGGGGAGAGGGGGGAAGGGTGGGGCGGCATGATGGAGCATGCATACCAGTCGGTGCTCTGCCCCCTCCCTCTCCCCTCCCTCCCCTGCATCCAACACCCCATGCACCACCCCTTCCCCTTATCTTTGTGTGCCTAGGTACGTGTTTTATCGTGTGTCCGTCCATGTTTTGCGTGCTCGTGTTGTGCTGTTCCTGTTGATTGCTAATGCCCGACGGCGCGGTGGGTCTCCAACTCATCTGGTCTCCAACTCATCTTCGGCCGCCTCCATACACGCCCACGATTACGGTAAGGTGCTCCATAAATGGTAAGTTTGATAAGTTTTAGCTCGCAATGCTTCAACCACCACTTCGGCTCGACTCACGGTTGTTTCCACCAGGGCTTGTCAACTACAAGTACCACTATCACACCACACATTGGAATTTCTTTTTTCCCCCTTACCTGCATGTGGCTGTGTTTGCAAAGGGGCGCTTGGACACGCTGTCCCGCAGCACGATGCGGTCCAACTCGGGAACGTACATCTGGGGCGGGGCGGGGTGGGGGGAGAGCGATGGAGATGGGGGGAAGGTCGGGATGCAAGGCCGGGTTGTAGGCATCATGCGCGGGAGTGTGAGAAAAAGAGGTTTGAGCGGAGCAGCGGAAGGTGTATAAGGGACGGACCCATGGCGGGGATGGGCAAGGTCTGCCGCATCGTGTCTTTCCCTCCCTCCCACCCTTCCCCAGCTGCCTGCCCCCCCCCAGCCCACCTGGTTTCCCTTGGCCCTGGAGGGGATGTCGAAGCTGAATCCCTCCCCCTCCAGCACGCTGGCAGCCACCCCGTATATGGCCGCCTCGATCTCCGACAGAACCGCATCCGTGTCCTTGTCAATAACCTTTGGGGGGGTGTTGGGGGGATGTGTGGGGTAGGAAGACTTCAAAGGTAGACCAGCCCAAATGTGTTGTGTGGGGTGTGGCGGAAGGCGAGGGGGGAGCGAACAGGATGACCTATGTCACTTAGCAATGCTCCAGTATAAGGTATAACTACCCAACCCGCACCTCTCGGCAGTTGTACGGCAGGTTCAGTTGCGCCAGCGACCTGCGCCATGTATTTTCTTCGGGTAAGGCAGTAGGACGTAAGCATGTAGGGGGCAGGCGCGATACTCACTTCTCGACTTCATTGTTGGATTTAAGCTGGGCGGCAAGGGCTTTGACCTGCTTAAGGACCTCCTGTAAGGTGATGAGCAGGGCAGGAAGGTCCCTTGGGTCTCTTAGCGGCTTTGGCGCGGAAAGCTCAATCTTGGCTAGACGTTGCAAAATATGGAATCTCTCACCTCAGCCGCTTTGATCTTTTTGCCTTTTGCGAGCGCGAGCGCTTGTTCCGAGCCTCCCCGTTTAGACATTTCCGCTGTGGCGTCAAATTAAGTCAGCAGCCAGTACGCAAACCAAATGATATCCAATTAAGTCGCCGAATTGTTCACGCTGATGGGTTCCAACGCTCAACTGAGCCGGGGTTTCGCGCTCTTTTCGGCAATGCTTTTGCTCTCCCGTAAGACGCTGGATCACCTCCTATCTGCTTTTTACTTCCCTACAGCAGCTTCTAGGTACTTGTCAGCATTTCACGCCCGAGTTAGGGGCAGTCCCGTACGGTTGCATGGCATCGCACTAGTTAGTTGGATTTGTGTTTCGTCCCGGCGTTCGTTTCTACTACGGAAGCTCTAGGTTGCCATAAAGGATATATACACTGATTGCGAAACTCTGTCGATGCGGTTCAAGTAAAAAGTTACACGATGGCTGACCGGCCCGAGCACGTTCCATCGCAAGAGCGAGAGGCAGCGCCTAAGGTGGAATATAAGAAAGAGCAGAGACGGGAATCTCCTGCCAGGGATAATCCGTCTGCAAGAGACTATGCGAAGGATTTTCCGCCACGGGACAGCTATCGTTCGGCCAGGGACAATGGCAACGGCAACAGTACTGATGAAAAGAAGATCTACGTTGGTGGGTTGGATTACTCAGCTACAAAGGATGATATCTACGACGCGTTCTCTGATGCTGGCAAGGTCGTCAACGTCCAGCTGGTTGTCGACCATGAAACCCAGCGCTCAAAGGGCTATGCATTTGTCACGTTTGCGGACGAAGACGCGTTTTTGTACGCACTCAAGCGGGTAAGGGACTTCCGCAGAGCCCCTCCAGGCCTGGATAAGCAACAAACCATGGCTCAGCTGGCGGATACCTGGCTGTAGATGAACGGAGTGGCAATCAAAGGCAAGAGCGTTGTGGTGAATAAGGCGCTGAGCGCTGAAGAGAAAGCTCTCCGGGAGCGCGAGGCAGGCATTCAACGGGACAGGGACACTGATGCCCGTCACCACCACAATTCGCGTCCTCAGCACAGCGAGCGGCCCCATTATGACCGGCCACCGGGACCTCAGAGCAAGGGCTTCCGCGTCATAATTACTGGTCTGCCGGATGCTTACACTTGGAGGTAGGGCAGGGTTCGGGGCCGAGGTTTGCAATTCATTAGACACCACCTCAATTGAACCCGGGGCTTCCCAAGACTCACTTCACCAATATGCGCCGTCGGTTGCTCTCGCTGCCATAAGGATATTCATATGGGTCACCCTCCCTTCTCCCGGGCTGTACATGTCACCCGCTCACCCCATGTCACCCCGCCGCTGTACGCGCAGGGAGATGAAGGACTTTCTCCGCACCTACACGAATGCTCAGCCGACGTATGCCACTGTGGAGCGCCCTGGACGCGGGTACTGTCCTGGGGCTGCGTTGGTCTGGTCACAACAGTTTTATCATACACGTGGTTTCGGGACAGGATCCAAATTCGACGCACGTGTGCTATGAATGCTATCTCCTGGCTTTCATCTCTTCCTGGCTTTCATCTCTTCAAAGAACACTCCCAAGCACCTCGAGCACGGGTTTCTAAGTGTCTGCGGTCGTTCTTTGGCATTTGGGTCAGCAGTTGGAAGCACCCCTGGTATCGTGCCGCCGTCTCTTCACAATATCCGTGGCCATTTTGAGCAAACCACGTTGCCATTACGCGACGATTTCTGCGTTCAGCCTTAATATCAGCCACGTCCACGTCAGCCGTGTCCAAGCAGCCTGTTTGGCCTATCACCGTCCATTCAGTGCTCGCAACCGCCTGCAATCCAATCCCATCCGAGGCGCGGGTTGTCCACGTGTCCTCCTGCTTTACATGATAACAGCTCTACTTGTCGTTAAATGCAAGGCCCCCTTCATGTCACATACAACTCGCCGTACAATTCCTCCGCGCTGCACTCCGCATGTCTAGCAGTAGCGGCTGTAAATGCAACATGCAAGGTACGCGCTGCCAGCTGCTGCGTGTTGAGGTGGCCTCGCGCGCACCTAGGCTGCCGCCCTGCCAGCACCACACCCTTTCTCCCTCACACCTCCCCTCCCTGCCCCTGTTACCTGTTCTCGCCTCCTGCCCCTGTCCCTACCTCATAGCATTGGCGAGTACGCCACGTCAGCCGAGCGCAGCAGCGCCATCCGGTCACTGCACGGCATGGCGTACGAGGGCGGAACCATCCGCTGTGAGGCGCTGGTGAGTGGGGTGCGGGTGGCGGGGGGGGGGTGTTAAACACAGAGAGGGACACGCAGTGCTGGTCAGGACTCAGGGGAGGGTAGCGGGGAAACCAGCAATGTTGTGGCGGCTGAGCTAAAGAGGCTTGTTGCATGGTGGTTGCTGCCGCGTCCCGTTCAGGCGGAGGAGCGTGGGGGCGCTGACGGCTACCCTGGAGGGGCGGCCGCTGGAGGCGGAGTTGGAGGAGGAGGGCCGTATCAGCGCCCCGAGCGAGGAGGCGGCAACGGGTTTAACGACGCGGGGTACGGTCGCGGGGTCAGTGGAGGCGAGCGGTATGATGACCGGTACGGCCATGCGCCGTACGAAGGTGGGCGGGGAGGTAGCGGCTATGCGGATGAGCGCTATCCGGACAAGTACGCTGGACGAGTAGAGGGTGGCGGTGGACGGTCAGGTGAGTTGATTCGGTGGGCAACGAGGAGGGAGGGTTGGCGTACATTGGTTGGGATCTTACGGAGTTGAGTTATGGGCGGGTTGAAGGTGGTTGCTGTTGCTGCTCGGATGTCCCCTTGCTGGTTGTACACACAGGTCGCTTTCATTGTGTATACGCGGCTGTCTTGGTAACCCAACATCCCTGCATGTCTGCTGCTGCTCAGGTGGCTACGAGGGAGGCGGCGGCGGCGGCGGTGGGGGTGGGGGTGGCTACGGCGGCGCCGGGGGCTACAGCTCCCGCGAGGGCGGCAGGGAGCCAGCGGGTTACGGCGGCAGGGAGTACCCCTCCGGCGGGGCCCGCGGCCATGCTGCTCCCTACCCCCTCCGGGAACCGCCGCCCTCGGGATATGGGTCGCGGCAGCCGGCAGGGTACGCCCCTCGGGGGGAGCCCGCCGGGTACGGCTCCACTCGCGAGCCCGCTGGGTACCCCTTGCGTGACCCGGGCTACGGTCCCTCACGTGACCCGGGCCCGCGGGATGCGGGCTACAGCTCCCGGGAGGGCGGCGGCTACGGCGCTGGCGGCGGCGGCGGTGGTGGTGGCGGTGGCGGCTACCATGCACGTGATGCGGGGGGTTACGGCCCTAGCAGCGGTGCTGGGGGTGGCGGCGGCGGCGGCGGATACGGGCCTAGGGAAGGCGGAGGGCGGGAGGGGGCAGGTGCACGTGACGGGAGGGGCGGTGGCGGTGCGTACGCCGGCTATGCGGATGAGCGCTATCCGGACAAGTACGGCGGCCGAGGTGATTATGGTGGACATACTGGCGCTGGTGGTGGCGGGGGGCGATCAGGTGGGTTGGGGGGACTCTGGTGGGTATCCTGATGTGGGTTTTCACCTCGCTGGGTGGGGGCGTTTACCCGCCTCCGCATCCTTCATCCCCTGCTTCTAATGCGGCGCCTAAGGTTCAAAGGAACGTTTCCTTTGCCTGCTGACCCTTCCCTGTCCCTCCTCCAGGTGGCCCCTACCCAGCAGCTGGCTACGAGGGAGGCGCCGGTGGCCCCAGTGGCCGCGCCGGGGGCTACGAGGGGGCCAAGGGCTACGCAGGCGGGGAGCACCCTGACCGGGGCTACCCGGGAGGCGTGAGGGGCGGCTACGAGATCGGGGCCTACCCGAGCAGCAGGGGCTACGAGGGCGCGGGGTATGAGGGCAGCCGGCGGGAGGGCGGGGGCTACGGAGGGGCGGCCCCGAGGGAGCCCCCGCCGGCCTACGGGGCGCCGCCGCCCGCAGGCCGCCCGGCGAAGGAGCCCCCGGGGTACGGCTCCCGAGATCCGGGTTATGGGCCGAGAGATGTGCCGTACAGCGGGGGTCGCGGCGGGGGTGCTGCTGGTGGTGGGGGTGGAGGCTACGAGCGGGGTGGCGGTGGTGGTAGCGGTGGGTATGAACGGGTTGCGGGCGGAGGCGGTGGTGGTGGGTATGAGCGAGCAGGTGGGCCGTACGAGCGCACTGGAGGGGGAGGAGGAGGTGGGTACGACAGGGGCGGAAGTGGTGGGTACGGCGGGTACGAACGGGGTGGCGGCGGAGGCGCAGGTGGAGGTGGAGGTTACAGGCCGGGTGGCGCGGGTGGGTACGGCGGCGGTGGCGGCCGTTCGGCAGGGCCGCCAGTGGGTGGCGGCGGAGGCGGCAGGGCTGGGGCCGGCGGGGCCGGGGGCTACGGTGATGAGGGGTATCGGGGCTCCGGGCGGGGCGGGCCGGACCGCAACCACTCCTCTGCACGGCCCGGCGGGGGAGGTGGCGGCTACGAGAGGTCCGCACCCTACTAGGCGGCCCCGGTACTCCCGCTGTGTGGCCCAGCAGCGTGTTGATCGAGCCCAACGGCTTGAACCAGCCGTGTGGGTGAGAGTGTTGGGTGGGAGTGATGGGGCAGCTTGGGGCATTTGGTTGAGGCGTTGGGAGCCCAGGGCGTGGCGGCGGGCGCCACATGAGAGGCGCATGAGCGTGCGAAGGGTGGTAACCATGTTGCTGGGAGCAGATGGAGTGTCCCGGGCGTCTAAGCTTCTGTGCTTGCTAGGTACGGTTCGTTCGCTTGGATGAAGGAATGGTCGACCGTTATCGTGATCCCAAACCGGAAGGCAAGGGAAAGCTTTGCTATCCTTGTCCATCCACGCCCTCGGTAATGCGGCGCTCAAATTTGGAAGACATGAACCAACGAGCTCTTTGCAGCGTATGCAATGCACTGTCCCGTGGAGCTGTATGTGACTGCTTTGCGCTTGTAACATGCCACAGCAACAGTTGTTCAGCTGCTTCTACCCGGTTCGCGTTACACGCGTGATATGATCCTTCATATGAAGGCCTTCATGTACTCAATTACATGAATTGGAAATCGCTCATAGGCGCCCTGCAGTCTTACAAGGCAAGCGCGTGTGCGACATGCAGCTAGATGGAATGGATTCATGCGCAATCTGCAGTCGTGACGCAGCTTTGGCAGCTAGCAGGCAGCAGCTTTAAAGCAGCTTGAGTTACTTTTAGCCCCTCCTGTGTCGTGTGTAGATGGAGCTTTGCCAATCTCTCCCTTGAAATGCAACGCTTGTACAAGCTTCCTTTTCTCTAGCGTCCATAGTTCACAGCTCCTTACCCATTGCCAGCTAGTCTGTAGGAAAGAAACAAAGCACTTTAATTGCCTTGTCTTTGCAAGAACTTAAAGGCTCCTCTCACGCACCCGCACCTGCTGCGGCGTAGCTGATCGTGTTGCGCCTCTTGGCAGGCCGCGCGAAGAAATGGAGCCGCCCAGCCTCAAGCAGCCGCCACAAGCCGCCAGCGGCAGCGGTGGCAGCACCTTCAATGAAATCCAGCCGCTGTTGCAGCCGGGCGGGGCCCTCGCCTCGGCCCCCGCAGGGCCAGGAATGACCGCGCAGGCACCGGGTCCGGGAGGTGAGGCGCGAACGGGGCGCAAGCCTTATACGGGGCACTGGTTATATGTATAATGTAAGAACAAAATGGAATGTGCTTGACATGTACACTGATGATCGGATAGCTTGAGGGTTTTGCCCTTTCGCGGTGCTTCGCGACTTCGCTCCCTGAGGCAGCCAACTGTTGCAGGCCGAAGAAGGCTCGTCAGGCATTTGCGATATCTTCTAATACTAAAATGAAATACCTCCTGATATACCCCTGCATGTGAATACTTTCAATGCACGATCAAAGGGGCCCAAGAAGGAGCAGAAATGCCGGTGGTGACCCATGGGTCACCCGCTGCTGTTTTCCCATCGGGACGTGCCGGCACCACGCTCTCGCACAAATCTTCCCGCCCGCAATCCTCCCACCACCCCTTACCTCCTTCCCTAATCCTCACAGCCGTTAAACCTCCATCCACCTCCAATTCCCTCCCCCAACCCCCGCCCCTTCCCCAGCTCCCGAGGCTCGCGGCTACTGGCACCGCGTGAAGGCCCGCGCGCAGCTGCAGCTGGCGGAGATGAAGGCGCGGGCAGCGGAGGGCGGCGGGCAGGAGTGGCGCAGCGCCGCGGAGAACCTGCAGGCGGTCAAGGAGGCGGCGCAGGTGGGGGGACGGGGGGGGGGGAAATTGAGGGGGAGCAGGGAACAGAGGAGGAGAGGATGAGGGAGAGTGCGAGGCTCATGTTGAGTCATGAAACGCGGGTAAATGATGAATGGATGGAGGTGATCTGGGGATCCGCTGCTGCTGCCGCTGCGCATTGCCCCCAACCCTGCCCCCCCTCCCCCCCGCTCCCTAATGCCCCTGCCTTGTGCCCCTGCCTTATGCCCCAAACACCCTCATGCCTCAGGAGGTGGTGGCCCCCGGCGCCCCCGCCTCCCTGCGCGAGCGGGCCCGCAGCGCCTGGGCGGTGGTGCGGCTGCTGGACAGCGGCCCGCTGGCCAAGTGGGCGGCGCGGGCCATGGTGTGCGCATTCTACGTAAACCAGGTGGGGTGGGGTGTGTGTGTATGTGTGTGTGTGTGTGTGTGTGTGTGTGTGTGTGTGCGTTTTAGGAAAACTGGCCGCGATTCTGTGGTTGCCGCATGTTACCCTCCTCCTCTTTACCCCTCCCTCCCCTTTCCCCCCTCCCTCCCCCCACAGGTTGCTGAGGCGGTGGAGGTGTGGCACCACCTGCGCCACGCACCGCCCCGCAGGAGGTGGGCGGATGAGCCGCCGCCGCAGCCGCCCACCTTCCCCGTGCTGGCGGTGAGGGGGTCAGGTTAGACTTAACCATATGAAACCGTAAGGGCAAAATTAGGGAGGGGGAGAGATGCTGTGCGCGTGTGCATCAGCATGCGTGTTAAGAAAACTGGCCGCGAGCCGGAACGTACTGTGTGCGTGTTTCAGAGGAGTAACCGTAACCTCTTGGCCCCTCCCCGTAACCTCCTGGCCCCTCTCTCCCCCTCCTCAAACCCGCTTCCCCCAACCCATCCTCACCCACTCCCCCCACTCCCCCCCCACCACCCCCAGGTGTCGGTGCTGCTGCCCTGCGCGCTGCTGTGCGCCTGCGGCCTGCTGGTGCCCCTCACCGGCGGGGCGCTGCTGGCGCACAGCGTGTGGGAGGACGCGTGGCTGACGTGGCGCCAGATCCTGAATGTCGTACGGCACGGCAGGCGGCCCACGGAGCTGCTCGCGAAGAGGCTGGCCATTGTGAGTAGAGGGCCATCTGACTGACCCATGGGTCATCTGTGCCCAGTAGACACGTGTACTCGCGAGGCGCTTGGCACCTTCATGATGAGAAAGGCACCAGGGGTTGCTGCACAGGGCTGCACAAGTCAATCCATCCTCCCCCCCCTGCACGTTAGTTTCCCCTTTTAACCCTCCCCGACCCCTCCCTTCCCCTCTTTCCCCCCCCCCCCCCCCGACCCAGATCGGCGCTGCCATGCTGGTGGTGGCTCACAGTGCCCGGGACAGGGCCCGCATGCGCAGCTACGCGGGTGGGGGCTGGGGGGCGGGGGGCTGGGGGTGGTTCATGGCAGGGTCAGTTGGGGAGAAAGCGTATCAGCGGAGGCGTCGCAGCAGCACTAGAGCCGGCTCCGGCAATCCCTGTTGATTCCCCCTCTTCCCCACCCTCTCTCCCACTCACCCACCCCGCCCCAGGCATGCTCCTCTCCGACGACCGCGCCTCCCGCACCCCCGGCCGCCGCAAGTCCGCAGCCCTGCTAGCCGGCCGGCTGCTGCTCACCTGCCTGCTGCTGTTCGCCGGCTGGACGCAGACCCGCCGGGTCATGTCGCGCGGCGGCGCCTTATGGCAGGTCGGCCCAATGACGCCTCGTCAGCAGGCCAATGCGGCGGCGGCCGACGCGGCGACGCGCGCGGCGGCGCTGGCGGCGGGCGCGGGAGCTGCCGCCGCAGGCGGCGGCGCCGCCGGCGCGGCGATTGTAGGCGGCATTGCGGGCGCGGCGGCGGGTGTGGGCGGCGGCGCGGCGGCGGTCATTGGTCCCGGCGGCGGCGGCGGGGATACGGCGACGATGGCGGGCGGTACGGCACCCAGTGCTGCGGGTGTACGGCACCATTACGGTGTTCCCGACTCGCACGACAACAACTGGCAGCTGGTGGAGATGCTGCTGTGTGTGCCGCTGGCGCTGGGGTGGCAGGTAGGGTGGGGGGTGGGGGGGAGAAGGGTACCCAATTTGTTGAATGGGGCTGGAGGGGGCAGGGTTAACGGAAGGTGCCGCAAAGCGAGTCTCGTACTCCTCCCACACATCACCCTTCCTCCCACATTCCCTCCCCCACCCCCACCTGGTGGTATCCCTCTCCCCCCACCCCCCCCCCACCCCCCCCCACCCACCCCCCACCCCCCCCACCCCCCCCCACCCGTCCCCCCCTCAGACCGCGCTCACTTGCCGCCTGCTCTCCGCCGTGCTCCTCCTCGAGGCGCTCACCTGCTGGCCCTTCTGGGGCTGGTACTGGCCCTCCTGGCACTACGCGGCGCACGTGCGGCTGCACTTCTTCACCAACACCGCGGTGGCGGGCGGGCTGGTGCTGCTGCAGGGGCTGGGCGCGGGGGAGTTCACGGTGGATGCACTGATGGGCAGGAAGAGGGAGTAGCGGGGGTGGTAGGGAGGGAGGGAGGGAGTAGCGGAGGACGGAGGGAGGGAGGAAGTAGCGGGGGTGGTAGGGAGGGAGGGAGTAGCGGGGGTGGTAGGTAAGGAAGGAGGGAATAGGGAGGGAAGGAGCGGGTCGCATGGACGTGTGCGAAGGAAAACTAGGCCTTGTGTGCGGTGTTATAAATAATGCTTTCTTATGAGCAGCAGCAGCCCAACGCAGCATCATCATCATCAGCAGCAGCCAATAAAGGCAAATGCGCTGTACGATAGGGTTGCATTGCCGTACATACACGCGTGTGTGTGCATGTGTGCTTGCTTGGGCGGGCAAGGGCTGGTGTTTGTGTGTTTGCGAGTGGATCAGGTGAGGGGTACTGTACACACCGTTAGGTAGGTTAGTTGCCGCTAGCTACTGTTGTCACCAATGTCCTTTGTTTTCTGATTGTTTTTTGTGTTGTCAATTTCTGTTTGCTGTTGCCGATACCGGTGGCCACGTTTCAGTGTCGGATGCTGATGCTGATGGGTGGGTGTGTTTTGCCGCGTTGCTCTGTTTACTATTGTCACGTTGTTAATACCTGTCAAGCATTCGGTACGGCGGTACCGGTAACGTGGGATTGTACGGCAATTCGTGTAAGCCGCAAAGCACCCGCCGACCTAGCACCCGCCGACCTAGCACCCACCGACCTAGCACCCAACGACCTAGCACCCGCCGACCTAGCACCCGCCGACCTAGCAGCTAGCACCCACCGACCTAGCACCCGCCGACCTAGCACCCACCGACCTAGCACCCGCCGACCTAGCACCCGCCGACCTAGCACCCGCCGACCTAGCGCCCGCCGACCTAGCGCCCGCCGACCTAGCGCCCCTAGCGCCCGCCGACCTAGCGCCCGCCGACCTAGCGCCCGCCGACCTAGCGCCCGCCGACCTAGCACCCGCCGACCTAGCACCCGCCGACCTGGCACCCGCCGACCTGGCACCCGCCGACCTGGCACCCGCCGACCTGGCACCCGCCGACCTAGCACCCGCCGACCTAACACCCGCCGACCTGGCACCCGCCGACCTGGCACCCGCCGACCTAGCACCCGCCGACCTAGCGCCCACCGACCTACAGGTAGCACCCGCCGACCTAGCACCCGCCGACCTAGCACCCGCCGACCTAGCACCCGCCGACCTAGCACCCGCCGACCTACAGGTAGCACCCGCCGACCTAGCACCCGCCGACCTAGCACCCGCCGACCTAGCACCCGCCGACCTAGCACCCGCCGACCTAGCGCCCACCGACCTACAGGTAGCACC